AAGAAATAATTATAATTAAAGTCAATATAAAATACTTGAATATTGAATTACTATATTGTTGAAGAAAAACTAATTTAAGTAGTAAAGGACAAATAATACAAATTACAGTGTTTTTATTGAATCGATTCTGTTGGAAATCTGCGTTGGTAAACTTTGGGAGAACAGCGGAAAATCAACAACCATCTTTTTTCTTCTCTCTACAGATACATGATACAAAACTTAGCTGTTTCCGCCGGATTTTTATATCTCGTGTCATAAAAAGAGAAAAAAGAATCAACGCAGTACCGGGTGAGAGTAAATAAACAGCAATATCGTTCGATCGATACAATATTTCTGCTGTAGCAAGTTCTAAAAACGAGAATTGTAACGTGATATAATTCAACATACTAATGGAGAAAAATGTATAGTCCAAGTTGAATTATAATGTAATAACTCACAAAACATATGTATAGTTCCGTCGCCTGTTCCATGTGCGCATCGATTTTCCGACATAGTTGCTCCAATCTGATCATTCCTCGTGATATAATTCATGTCTCCGAGTAAATTCAACCACGATCAAGAAAATAAAAGTAATCGATGAAAGCTTAATCCATAATTTTTTACATTTAAAATAGTAATAATAAAGTAAACAGCGGTTGAAAATATTTAATTTTGAATAAATTTTCTATCGTAAATGAATTTAAAATTATTATATACGGAACAGAATGGTAACGATTCGATAAAAAATTAATTCAGTAGATTTGTAATTAACCTCGACCAAACAAAAGCAAACGGAAAGTCTAAATATGGGTAATATTGTTTAAAAATTGTACAACCACTGACAAAATTAGAATCATACGGATATAATCGACTTTTGCTAATTGTGTTGCGACGTGTTCTAGCGCTTTCCATTTATCGATTTAGTCTTTTGATTGCTATCACTGTTCTCAGAACTTATGCTTGATTAAATGGTACTGGTATTCTCGCGATGTGTCGCAGAGTAACGAAAAAAGAATGTAATACGACTATATTTTGCCGCACGGAATATTTACGGTCGTTCAAATGCAATCACCGGTAATCACGCAACGTGAATAATAATGCGCCTTCGTGAGGCGAAATGAGCCAGTTGTATGTGTTCGTTAGCGCACTGTGTTACAATGGAGTCTCCAACGAAGATAACGCCACCGTTGGCTCACGTGTAACACGAAATACGGGAGAAGCCCGTGTTTTCCAATTTGCCTTCGGGAATGATATATAGGGTAAATGGGGTCCGAAAATTCGAGGGTATGTTCCGCTTATAAGAACAACAAGAAGCTAAATAGACACACCACGTACTATACACACCTACACGATCGAAATGGGTGTTCCGCGGTTGATCAAACAGTGGTCGTTGAGCCAAAAATAGTTCTAGAAAAAATCGTTTTGAAACGTGGAATAATATGAAAATAGATAAAATCGTTTTGAACGGTTCCCGATAAATATATTTTTGCATCGAAACTATTAAATCGAATCCATAATGAACGAGGAAATAAAATTTAATTTTTTAAAATAATTTTAAAATTTGGTATTCTTTCTGATTTTTTTTTTAGATGAATTACATTTCATTTTATAACTCTCTGATTGGGACATATATAAATTCAAAAAGGAATTTGTAATTTGGAGAAAAAATAAATGCAAATAAAGGTATACAATTTTGGTATACCAAGATTGGATACAGATTTTCCAGTTCAAGGTCATCCGTAGGTCATGATATTAGGTTGGGGAAAAAGAAATCCATTATTTTTGCGTGAACTTCAAGACTTTATTTAACATGTTTCGGATTTTCCGATTTGGGTCAAATATGCGCCGTTTTGTTCTATAATTTATTGCCATTTTAAAGGTAGCTTCATAATGCCTCTCTCATAGAAATCTTGGTTCTTATTGGCGAAAAACTCTAGTAACCGATTTTCACAATATTCTCTTGATGCCAATTTCTTATCACTCAGGAAGTTTTGCAATGCGAGAAAAAGATGGTAATCACTTGGTGCCAGGTCCGGACTATATGGTGGATGCATTAAAACTTCTCAACCAAGCTCCCGGCGTTTCTGGCGAGTCACTACAGACGCGTGTGGCCTAGCGTTGTCCTGCTGGAACACAACACCTCTTCTGTTGGCCAATTCTGGCCGTTTCTGGTCAATCGCTAGCTTCAAACGGTCCAGTTGTTGACAGTAGAGATTCGAATTTAGTGTTGGGCCATATGGAAGGAACTCATAATAAATGATTCCTTTCCAGTCCCACCAAATGCACAGCAGAACCTTCCTGGCCGTTAGTCCTGGTTTGGCCACCGTTTGAGCTGCTTCACCGCGCTTTGACCACGATCGTTTTCGCACAATATTGTCGTATGTGACCCATTTCTCATCCCCAGTCACCATCCGTTTAAGAAATGGGTCGATTTCATTCCGTTTGACTAAGGCTTCGCAGATGGAAATTCAATCCATCATGTTTTTTGGTGTTAATTGGTGTAGCACCCAAACATCGAGCTTCTTTTTGAATCCAGCTTTGTGCAAATGGTTTAAAACTGTTTTATGGTCGATCTTTAGCTCCTGGGCGATGCTACGACTACTAACATGCCGGTCAACTTCGATTATTTCTGTAATTTTATCGACATTTTCGACGACGGACCTGCCTGTGCGAGGTGCATCTTTGGCATCAGAAATACCTGAACGGAATCGACGAAACCAAAATTGCACGTAATTAGCCGTTACAGTATAGGGGCCATAAACACTATTTACAATTTCAGCCGCCTGGCTTGCATTTTCGCCTGTATCAACGAAAAACTATAAAATGTACCGAATTTTCTCTTTCTTGACTTCCATTTTTAACACCCTGTAACTCACAACTGAATAGACCAAATAAAAAACAACAAAAGAAATTTTTTAGTGTGAAATGTCACCTTGCAAAGAGCATAAATCTAAAATTGTTTGATCGATACTTTACGAGATATCGATCACTACAGACATCTACCGACAAAATAATGGATTTCTTTTCCCCCAACCTAATATTACAGGTTGTTGAATTCGTCTTGACACGAACTACAATAATATAAAATAAAAATATATATTGCCATTTGAAAAAATTAAAGTGACATCGATTTTTAATTGAGAAAGTGATAATTTTTATAAACTCAATGTTTTGTCGTGTAACAGACAGAAAACCGATACATTGTTTTTTGTCAGATTAACGGAAGTGTTCGAAAAAATGTAATAATAAATGTAAATGTTAAGGGAACGCTCTGCACATTGGGGTGATTCAGAAAAACCAGACACAACCCCGATGATGCTCGTTTGATGAATTTTGCGCAACAGCGTCGACGACGTATTCAATTATTAAGATGGGGAACGCAACGGCATTATTAACGCAGCTCAATCAAATTTCGAGCGGAAGCATTTCACCGCGGAATTAACCGGTATTCGTGTGTTTAGCGACAGACGGGCGATGTAAAGTTTAACGTACACACATGAGATGGAAGTTAATTAGATCATCGGGATGTATAAACAAAAGCACGTTCGGAACCGTACCAAAGTTCCCTGGATAGAGATTAGTAATTATAATTTGCAGATTAATTTTGGGTTGAGCGTAAAGTTTGTGCGTTTTTCTTCTGAATAAATTTTACCGTATTATTTTTGCAAAAAGTAATTTGTAATTTTCATTAATCCTCATTACTTTTCCCCATTGTTCCACGTGTTTTTTCTTTATACGATCTTCATCAAGTTTTTATAATTTTTACGAAAAATTATCTGCTTCTAGATATGAAATACAATACAAGGTGTTCGGTCACCATTGGGAAAAATGTTAATGGGAGATTCTAAAGGCAAAAATAAGACGAAAATCAAGGATACTAATTTGTTGATTGAAGCTTCGTTAAAAAGTTATAGAAACATTTCCGGTCACACAGTATATTTTCAGTAATGAATTTTTTTCTCGAAAGTGCGAAGGAATTGGGAGATATGTGTATTCACCAAAAATGATTGTAATTGGCCCTTGCAACCAAAAATAATTTTTTTAGAAAGATTTGAAATTTTTTAAATTCGCCGAAAAATTTCAGCACCTACTCGAATTTTTTTCTGGAAAGTACGTAGGATTTCGGGGGTATGTCTATTCATAAAAAATGATTGTAATTGACTCCCGCAACCGACAATAATTTACCGATACCTCAATCAAGAAATTGATATTCTTGAGTTTCGTCTTATTTTGACCTCTAGAATCTTCCATTAAAATTTTTCCTAGGGTTGGCCGAACACCCTGTTTACATATAGAAGTATCTACAGGCTGATTAAAGAAAAAATCGTTTTGGTTATTGATGGAGGTCCACTATCTTTGAAACTTTCAGCATACTACAGTATTGCCTTCGCAATCTAATCGCGTATCAGGTTTGTTTAATTATAATTACCAAGAAAAGGTATTAATTTTGTTCCAGGTATCGTTCTTGATTATCTCAAAATTCCTTAGTTAATTAGCCATGGGATATGAATCGAATTTGAAATGAAAACATAGTCTGATAGAACAACTTCATTTCATTGATGCTCTGTATTGAAATTATTTTTTTCTAATTAATTACATTTTTAAATATAATACAAGGCACTTGATAATATTATTAAGACACCATAATCTACATTTTAGACTTGTAAAACATTATGTACTCTTTTAATTAGTTCGACATAATGAGTAGAATTTTATTTAAATTTCACATGTATCCAAACTCTGATTTTCTTTATTTAGATTTTCTATTCATCTAGTTTTTAGACAAATTGAAAATTCAAATTTTCATTCTGAATAAAAATTCATTCCCTCTCATCCTTCTTTAGATCAGGTAATTCGAGTTAACAATCAATATACAAAAATAATAGTGGAAGTAATTACAATTTATATATTACAATTGCATAATAAATTTGCCTTTATTTTATATTACAAAAATTTTCATTTTCAAATTATTGAAAAATGACATATTATATAATGTGAATAAATAGTGGAAGGTTTCTCGAGCCGATTCTTTCTTCGATCTGACTATAAAACGGTATACATAAATAAATCCGTTGCTTTTGAATACACGAGAATGTTGTGAAGGATGAAGTTGGATGGCTCTAAAAGGCAAATATGGTAATGCGATTGAAATTCACTAAACTGTGAATCGCGAATAAATTTGCTTTCTCTTCGGTAGGAAAGACGAAGGTATTAAATTTTATTGGAATTATGCTCTCCATTTATTCTTGAAGTGTCTACTTAATCTGGTCTCGACAATGTAGGATGATCAATAGGGCTTGAAACAAGTATGTCATACATTTCCAATAGTCTATAAAAGTTTACTGGACGTGGGCAAACTTTTAGAAAAGAATTATTATTACTGTAACGAGTTAGTGTGCTCGAATTTTATAATAAATTTTATTTATTACAAACGCAAACGGAATATACAATCATACAAATCTGTTTCAAGTACCGAAAGTATTCACGATATGAAGTAAATTGAACTATTATGCTACGAGTCCACTGGGGGTATGCATAATTCATTACTTTTACCAATACAACAACCTTTCCTAAATTTATTGTCCTCTAAAATCCGACATAGTGTTATATTCTTCTGGATACGCAAACTTTGGTTCACATGAAATAACAGTATTACGATGTCTGTGTAATATTCCTTTTTAATATTAATCGAACATATGTTATTAATATAAAGAAAATCTCGTTGTATTTACATAAGTAAACTAAAACAAAGCGTTTCATATGTATGTGAGTAAACGAACACTAAATAAAAGTCCAAACGCTAGTAACTGTTGATTGGTGTACAGTAATCGACAAGCTTATTAAATATTTATGATAATACGGACATACTATTTCGAAACTTTTAATTGTAAAGTGTTAATAATTGACAAGAAAAGTATCGTGATAGAGAAGTGTGTATAAATTACAGACGATTGTTTAAAACAAATTTGAAATGTTACGTTCATCTGTCCACTTACTTTTGTTCTTAACTGTAGATACAGAGATATTCACGTTTCCCGTAAAAAGAAAAACATTTATTACGTACATAATTACATACTTAAAGGTAAACTGCATTAAACGAAAACCATTCACGTCCGCGAATACGAAGATGGCGGATCAAAAGGCACGGCCCTCTCCAAGGGATCGTTGTCTTAACGCATGGTCCGTCGAGAGTAATTAACGCGCTCGTATGAATAGCCGAGTAAGCTGAATTACTTTTCCCCTTCAGTAGGGAATTTCCGCGTCGTCCAAGCTGTTCCTTCGCGTGTTCTCAGCCGTCTTATAGTGATGCCTCTCGCAGAACTCCTGAATTCTCTCACAAGCCTCCTCCAACATATCCAACGGTACAGTAATTACCAGCCTCATGTAGGACGGATAATCGAAACACTGCGTGAAATGGTAAATATAGGAAACGTACGATCGATCGTAACGAATAATTTTGGCCGTACACTCCGCGACAGAAAGATAGCACACCAATTTTGCTAATTTTTGCAGACATAATTAAAATCCAAGTCGGACGGTTCGTGACTTTGTAAGGGAAAATGGGAATTAAAAAATTGCGTCGAACAAAATGGGAGATCGTTTAGTGAAAAATGTATTTAAAAAGAAAACATACGAGCAGAAGGTGACGCAATAAAATATTGAGGCAACATATTCCTATAAATTTTCTAAAAGAAACGTACTGTCGTTTTTGTCGTTGAGTGTATGCACGTAATAAACTGCGTACCTGGCCAGGTAGACAAAACACGGACTCCTCCATTAGTAGCCGTTGCACGAACTCGAGGTCGGAATTAAATTCCGGAAAACAGGGTAGATCTATGTAAACCTGGAAACCGATTGGATAATTTATACCTGGTAAATTGCTATCGGCTTCCCTCAACGTTACCGCGTTCAACGTGAACGTACAGTCGATTACTCTCAGCCTCATAAAGGCATGATATCTTATTTAAAACAAGAAACAACGCGACATCCTTTGTCTTCTACTAACAAAAGAACCACTCGACACGTTCCCCTCGGAATTTAACTCTGGAATAATATGCACACTGCATTCGTCGTTCGTTTTTCTCAGCGATTTATTTACAATTTTCATCGAGTACGCTTATGCCTCGATTGTCGAAATATGTATTGCACAGTAGAACAAACGTTTATGTTATTCGGTACTTTAATTCATTTGACGGGCTAGGATATCATCGTGGTTTTGTATTTCAAAAAATTACTATTTTATTATTATTTTATTTTTTGTCAAGGCAATAATTCTATTTAAAATATTCAGTAACCCAAAATATATCTTCCTTCGAAAAGTGCAAGTTTTCTTATTTATGATTCTGACATGCGAGGGTCGATATATCGTATTACGGGGTCTAAGATATAGATTTTAGATAACAAGTCTCGTGAACGTTTATTACATTTTTAAGAAAAGCGTGAATAGAAGACGATAATGTAGCTCATTAAGATTATTAAAACCTGAGAATTTTGGATAAATAATCAATTGTACTCAATATATGCAATACATTTTCCCACTAGTATATTAAACTGTAGCAAGCAATACAACTCGCCTAATTAATACGTTTTATCCTTGTCCCTTTTGGTTGACGGCCTGTTTCCAAAATAATTATTCAGGAAATCGTTCAAAAAGTTTGTACGAGTTCTAACAAAACGCGGAAATTATAAAACTTTTGCTAAAGGGGCAATTATAAAACTGTTTCTATTGGGGAAATAACTAATACATGTTTGTTATAGGTATTATTTTGAAAAACAGCATCGTTACGATACGTGTATGTCCACGATTAAAAATAATTAGAAATTCTCTCACAATGTAAGATGAACTCGAGTAACAAATTCCCATAACCTGTTTTATAACAATCTCTATACCAGTTATTCTTAGTTTTTGTTTCCTTCATGGTTACAGTTTCATAATTTTTCCATTTTGTTAGAAAACTTCCTGAATACTTAACAAACATACCGTGTGGGGCAATAAAACATAATACAGTTATATTATAAGTACTATTCTGAAAAATAAAATTGTTAGGAAACATGTATATTTGAAATAAAAAATAATTAAAAATTCTCACATACACACAGAACAAACTACAATATAATATGAACTCGTGTATTTTCTTATAACCTGTTTCGCAACAGTATCTATAACAGACACTGTTTGTTCTTGTTTGCTCAATAGTAACAGTTTAATGATTTCTCCATTTTGGTAAACCTTCTAAATAAAACATAATAATTAAGCCAATTATACTGATATCATATTTCGACTTTTAGGCGTATTTATTGAAATTTTTTAAGCATATTAAATTAAGTAGCATGTGTTATCCGACTCTTTAGAGTCCTGATCTTGCATCTGGAGTTATATCAGACTCCAGAAGCAAAAGAGACCCAGGAGAAAACTTCCTTGCGTCAACTAGAGTCTAGGTCTCCCCTATCCATTCCTTTATAACTTGGATAACGTTGAGAAGGCTAGTTATTCCGAGTCCAAAATCCCTTGATAGCAGTGCTGCAGAAGGTAGAACATGTTCATGATCTTCGGATCAGAGAGGCTATAGACTTTAAAGCCTAGGGACTTCTTGGCGTTGTCGTTGAATTGACACATAGTAATTATTTAGAAGGCATACGTCGAAAATGGTCATTTTCGAACATTGGATAATACAAAAAACAGCCTGAAATACAGCTTCTAAAATGATTTTTGAAACCTTGCCACGTCACTGCTATAAAGTGGACATTTTTAGTAATTTCTCTTTGCTTTTAAATGTGCTAGCCATTGTGTTTTTTGAAAAATATATTCTAGCTTTGTTGTTGTGCATCTTTTTTAAAAAGCATTTTACGATTTAATTTATAATTCATTCCTTATCTTACGAAGTTAGTAAAAGGGAAACTATTAACGTTGTGTAAATAATTACCATCATGTACATAGCTCCATCTGGCATTATTGGTCTTAGTCCGAAAATCTTTATTATACAGTTGTACGCCAACTTTGAGTGGCTCTGAAAATGGTGAGCGAAACTAATTATTAGGGTAACACATTTTCAGAAAATATATAATACTTTTTTTTTGTAATTACTTTATAAAGTATTAAACTTTTTCTGATAAATACAAATTTTAGTTCCTTTAGAAGTACATAGAACTGAGGCTTTGAAAATTTAATAATGATAATTTATATACATTTATGGCATGGAAATGGAAGATTTAAGAGGATCAAGATTTTTCCAGATCTTCGTCTCGTTTTCTGGGAAAATGTTCGGAACCTGGTAACTTGAATTGTTAATTACTAATATACAGACTGATCGGTCACCCTTGGGAAAAATTTTAATGGGTGATTTTAGAGGCCAAAATAAGACGAAAATCAAGGATACTAATTTGTTTATGGAGGCTTTGTTAAAAAGTTATTAACGTTTAGAGTTCCGTTTGTACTGAATTTTTTTCTAGAAAATGGTTAGGATTTGGGGTATAGGTCTATTCACCAAAAATTTTTGTAATTGGCCCCCGCAACCGAAAATAATTTTTCCAGATTGATATGAAATTTTTTAATTTAATCCCATTAATATTTTTCACAGGGGTGTAGAATCTTCCATTAAAATTTTTCCAACACCTCGTATAAATTATGTGATGCACATTCTATGCTCGAATTGCTCGAATTGCTCGAAGTCGTCCAAGAAACAGAATTGAGTTTCTATCTATAAATCAGTAATAAATGACACTCACGTGTAACGTGCACATAACGTCGTCGTAAAATTTTTGAGGCGTGTTCCTGAGAATCGCAGGCAGCGCACCCTGTATAAGCGTGTTGCTACCGATAATTCTCTGGCTGAGGCAGTGAAGACCTTTCCGTATCTGCGAGTAGAGGGAACAAATAAAGATGAAAGTATATTTCAAACGTGTATTCATCGTGCTTCTTGTCCCGGGGAGGGTAAACACAAATCGAAGTTTCCTCAAAGCAAGCTTTGGGATAAGCTCCGGGACACCTTCTCCACGATTCACCGTTTCCTCTTTTTCCTCTTTTCTTAGAAATAAACCTCGAACGGAGTTAAGAACGCGATAGACGGTGCCAGGAGACGAACTTTAATGGCGGAATAAAGTTTAATCAACGAAATTTAATCCAATCGCGGCGCTCGCGGAACACCGGTCGTCCTCGTTACAGAAACAATACGGGCGGAAAAGCAATTATTTTCAAGCAGTTACGTATATATAACTTCCCGTTTCGTTACGTACCTCCTTCTTCAGAACGTTTTGACGATCGTGGATGATTATCCAGCCCATACGCCATCCAGGGACTAAAAATCTAAAATACCGACAGAGATCGTTGGTTACAAGAAGAAGGTAATTGTGGTAAACACTTACAGTGAGTGTAAAAAGTATTCGTACACTAGTCAATTTGAACAAAAACTTTGCAGAACTTTGTTTATTACAAAAGTATGTTAACAAAAACATTCATACGTATTCTTAGAAATTTCTGGAACAAATGTCATTAACAACAAATTATTTATTTATATGTATTATGAAAATATTAACAAATTTCCAGAAATTGACCTAAAATATACGCGTAATAAGTATTCGTACAGTCTTTGATTCGTAACATTCCACATAGAACGATTACAAGATAATCCATGATATGTAAACACACTTAGCATCAGTATGTCTGGAGACGCTGTCGGTATAGGTAGTATCCTGAATTCAAACATTATCAACGAAATTATCAGTAAAATGGGACGAAAACGCAAGGAAACCTCTGAAGAAGAAAGGAAAATTGTTATAAATTTACATAATAAGTGTAAAACACTGAGTGAAATTTCTAAAGTTTTAAATAGACTGAGATCCACGATTTAAGGAATCATTGACAGATATGGCGATCGAAAAACTGTAAAAAATAATCCAAGAAACGGACGTAAACGAATAATAAATGAGTATACCGGCCGATGGATAATTCGAAAAATAAAGCAAAATCCAAAGATAAGTGCGGTGAAAATCACAGCTGAACTTAAAAATGATCTGGACATTAATGTATGCAATAGCACAGTGCGTAATTTTTTATGGGATAGAGGATATCACGGCAGAGTAGCTCGTAAGAAATATTTCGTAAATGAAATTAATAGAAAGAAACGATTGCAATTCGCGAAAGAGTACGTTAATGTTCCTATGGAGCACTGGAACCGTATTATATTTACTGATGAGAGTAAATTTAACATATTTTGGGTCAGATGGACGATGTACAGTATGGCGGAAAAAAATACCGAGTACGAAAAAAGAAATTTGAAGCCGACCGTAAAGCATGGAGGAGGATCAGTCACAGTTTGGTGCTCTATGAGTGCGAGCGGGGTTGGATCCCTCCATTTTATCGATGGTATCATGGATCACAAAATGTACATCGATATTCTAAAAGAGCATCTTCAGGTTAGTGCAAATAAAATGCAGTTACAGGGCAATTATATATTTTTGCAAGATAATGATCCAAAGCATAATGCTTGATACACGTCAGTGGATCCTATATAATGTGCCGTAACAATTAAAAATCCCCCCACAGTCTCCAGACGTAAATGTAATAGAGCACTTATGGAGTCATCTTGAAGAAAAAATTCGAGACCATCACATTTCTTCGAAACAGGATGTAAAAAATGCACTTTTAGAGGAATGAAACAAAATTTCTAGTACTATAACCAAAAATTTAGTAAATCCAATGCCGCATAGGCTTAAAGCGATTATACAATCTAAAGGAAATCCCACTAGATACTAAAATAGCAAATAGACTGATTTTTGTTACGTTTATGTACTAAAATTTATAGTTTTTGTTGTAAAATTGGAAGTGTACGAATACTTATTACACGTATATTTCAGGCCAATTTCTGGAAATTTGTTAATATTTTCATAATAAATATAAATAAATAATTTGTTGTTAATGACATTTGTTCCAGAGATTTCTAAGAATATGTATGTATATGTTTGTTAACATACTTTTGTAATAAAGAAAGTTCTGCAAAGTTTTTGTTCAAATTGACTAGTGTACGAATACTTTTTACACTCACTGTATAAGGGTAGGACACGAACAGCTCGATCTTGATTTTAATGTGTTTTTGCAGTATGATAGTAGAGAGACCCCCGTTGACGTATACGAAATATTAGGTGTAGATGTTCGATAGTTTTTAAAATATAAATAATTTAAGTTGCATGCCTGTTGTTTCTTTTTTTGTTTGCTGTTATTGCATGGATATGTATAGCGATATATTTATTCATTTTACAAAGAGAAAGACATTCTATAGGCTGTAAGGGGTGCTAAAATAACATAGAAAGAGTAAGAATTCATCATAATATTTGATTCTACAGTTCCCCTATAATTACGTGTGCACAAAACGTGGTCGTAAACCGAGCCATGCCAAACCACTGCAAAACTATTTGGGCGAACAAATATATTCACACAATTGCGACATGCAAACATGTCATAGTTGATTTTTGTATACCTCTTTGTTAGGCCACTACATGACAGAATAGGAACTTCGGTCGACAATGATGCCAACGAGTGGAAAGTTCGTCCTGGAAATACCTGGCAACAAACAACGGAAAAATAATAATTGTGTGCACCGTTTTTCTTCGTGTTAATGAGGGACACAAACTGTCCAACTTTGATTTTGATACGCTTTTCCAGAATGATAGTGATTCCTTTTGGCATATATGTATAAAATATTAGATGCAGATACTCAATACCTTATAAAATATAAATAATTAAAGCGGGACTATCATAAATTAGCTTTGCATGTGTATTTTTGTATTGGATTGGAAAATGATTTAATAGAGAAATATTTCATAATATTAATGACATAGGTCTGCGACAATTGTGACAAGAATCTTTTTCCCTTTCACAATTAAGAATTTGCAATAAGATATCTGTTTAATTATGTTCTATATTTTTCTTTAAACCAGTTAAGATTAACAATAATTCTCTGAATGGTAGCACAGGTTTATTTATATTACAATTAAAAATGTGGGTAAAATAAATTTAAAAAATTATTCCATCAAGCTCTAAATTAGCTAAGTATTTCATATTTTATAGTAATGATTCTTCAATGATAATAGTTTCATATTCTGAGAAAAATAATGATATAGTACATAAGTAACCGAATCGTCATATTTTCCTATTAATTTCGAACGATTTACTTAATATGAATAATAATCAATCTTGATACGAGTGCTATCACTATAAATAATTATAATCGGATATACAATACTTGTACATACTTTAGTTTTAATAGTAAAGTATTTGTGATTTAAGTGTAAATGGTTAATTTGTTTTGTAAAGAACGTCAATGAAAAATCAGGATCTTTTTCTCCGTGAACAGTTAGTGTGTTCAAAATAATATATATATATATATATTTAATTTTTAAGGTTGCATCAACCCGAATGGGTCATTAGCAACCACGCAAAGTACACAAGTACAGACACAAGATGCCATAAGGAAACCGTCAAACTAAATTATACCACATTGGACCAAAATTAAATTAAATGGAAAAGGTTTACATGTTTCAAAAATTTAAGCAGTTTTCCACATGAATTGAAAGTTCTAGTAAGTTCTTTGGAGTCTTCATTCACTTCAAAATGTCTTCTTTCACTCTCATACACCGGGCACGACGAGATGATGTGGTGAATCGAGTTCCTTAAATTACAATTGATGCACATTGGACAGTCCTCTTTTTTTATCAGATGCACATGGGAAAAATTGGTATGGCCAATTCGTATTCTTGTTAATACGCTTTGCTGCTTCCTATTGAACAAAAAAGCGGGGCTTCTTTCAAAGATATCATTCCTAACACAATGCATATAAGTAGCGCGCGAGTTTTCCCAGGCAATGTTCCAATTGTTCTTGATAACTTTGAGGAGAGATACTAGAATGTCCTTATGAAAAGCTGGTACACTTAGACTTTGACACTGTTGATTGGCAGCCTCTTTAGCGATTTGGTCCGCTCTCTCGTTCCCTCTTATTCCTAGGTGGGACGGGACCCATCCAAAAAGGATCTCTGCAGCTTTATTATTGGATAAAATTTCATTATACGTTTCAACAATTTGTTTCATGATCGGATTTCCTGAGTTAAAAGTTCTTAAAGCTGCCAGGGTACTCATGGAATCTGTATAAATAACGTATTTGTTATCTTTGTTTTCCACTTCGTCTATGTATTTCAATGCTTCCAATGCTGCATATGCCTCACAGGAGAAAATTGTGAACACGTCTGGAAGCTTCCATCGCCTATCACCAACAGGTGTTACAATTCCACAACCAGTTCCATGCTTGGTTTTAGACCCATTTTCTTTGAAGAATGATCGAAGGTTATTTGTCTTGGAGTTTTCAAAAGCCAGGGAGGTGTTTTGAACTCTTCACGTGGAAGGGTATCAGCTAATGTCATATTTAACTTTTTCAATATTTGGAGAATACGAATATTAATTGGTTTCGGTAATTTGGATTTCCGGTCCAAGAGATCAATAAAGTTTGAAAAGAGGATCTTTTTCGTTGGGTTAAACGGGGATGCAGCACTAGTTAAGGCGTACGAAAGTGTAAGTTGCATTCTTCTGTAGTTCAACGGAACAAGGTTTGCCTCACTTAGTAAGCTGTAAATAGGGCTAGTGCAAAAAGCTCCAGTTGCTATTCTTGCAGCACTGCTGTTAATTGTGTCCAGCTTCTTAAGTGTAACCGCGCTCGCCGAACTATACACCATTGAGCCGTAGTCTATTTTGGGTTTGATTAATGCTTTATACGTTGCAATTAAAACTTGAAAGTCTGCTCCCCAGTTTTTTGAAGCTATTGCTTTCAAAACATTAAGGCTCCTAGCGCAACTATCTCTTAACTTCTTAACATGTGGTACCCACGTAAGCCTGCTGTCGAAAATTAGGCCAAGTATTCTAATTTGGTTGGTTATTGAAAGAATATGATTTCCTAGTCGTAAGGTTGGATTGTCCTGCTCTAAAAAATTTCTATTAAAAACAATAACTTTCGATTTAGATTCGGAAAACTTAAGGCCCGTTTTAGCTGAGAATAAACTGATTTGATTTAAGGTTTTTTGCATAATGTCTTCTGATGTTTTGATATTTTTACCGGAAACGAATATATTAAAATCATCAGCAAACAAGGTACACTTAACTGGAGCCTTAATAATACTAGAAATTTCGTCTATTGCCAGAAGAAAGAACGTAACACTCAGTACCGATCCTTGAGGAACTCCATTATTAATTAATGTTTTTTCAGACAAAGTACTATTGATACGAACTTGAATGGACCGAGATTTAAGAAAGTTGATCGTAAATTTTAAAATATTTCCGTTTAGCTTGAAGTTTTTCATTATACTGATGATTCTATCCCTCCAGACCATGTCATACGCCTTTTCAATGTCGAGGCAGACTGCAATAAGATGATGTCTATTCGCAAAAGCTTCACAAATGCTGGATTCCAAGGTGACAAGGCTGTCCAATGTACTACGACGATGCCTAAACCCACTTTGGTGGATAGATAGAAGTCTGTTTCTTTCCAGAAACCATCTGAGTCGCTTAATATAATTCTTTCCATTAATTTGCATAAACAACACGTTAAAGCGATAGGTCTATAGCTTCCAATGTGGTTTCTATTTTTGTCTGGCTTGGGAATTGGCACTACAATCGCTTCACTCCATTGCTTTGGAAAGACGTTATTACACCATATGCAGTTAAATAGGTCTAATAGGTAATTTAGTGCTTTTATGGAGAGTTTCTTAATGAAAATATTCGGTAACTTGTCAGGTCCGGGACTGGAGTTTTTGCACTTGTGCAGAGATTCCTGTAGTTCTCCGATGCTAATTTTTACATTTATCTCATGTACCGAATCAGACATTTCGTGTCGTGTATCATTAGATACCTCTTCCAGGAAAGTCTGTTTGAAACTACGAAAATCTTGATTAAAATTGCTGTCACTTGAATTATTAGCAAAGGTTCTGGCGAAGCAGTTTGCTATGTCAACCGGATTGGAAATTAGTAAGTTATCCGATGTGATGACAGTCCTGATATCAAGGTGCTTCAAATTCCCGTTGATATGTTTTAGCTTTTTCCAAACTTCGGAAGAAGAGGCATTGTGATTCAGTTTGGAAACATAATTAATCCACGATTGTTTTTTGCTCTGCCTAATGATTTTTCTTGCGATAGCCCGATGTCTCCGGTAGTTAATTTTATTTAATTCGGTATTATGACGTCTGTAAACATTAAGAGAGTGTTTGTATTCCTTGATAGCTGCTTCACAATCATTATTCCACCAAGGAACGTTGTGTTCAAAATAATGTTTAGCGCGTTTAAATGAATATTCCGGTTTCGGAAGATCGATATTTGCTGAAATAAATTTTAGAATAAAATGCATCGTGATATTTATGGAGATTTAAAAGTGGAAGAAGAAGCACGAGAGAAGAGGAAAGTAATGAGATTAATAATCTCGAACGGAACAGGAATTTCATAAATTCTCGCGAGCCTGTCCGCCGAGCTTATTTCCTTGCAGCCTGTCGTATTTTATTTTCCGCTGGAAAACGAAACAATATGGCAGATCGTATACAGTAAGAGCTAAATGTTAACCACGTACCATATGCTCGTAAATTTCATCAGCTATAATTGGTACGAAGTAACGAGCGGCCACGTTGAGAATGTCAAGCGTATGGTCCCGAGTGAACACGGACCCACACGGATTCGAAGGATTGTTTATAACGATGGCCGCCGTCGATTCGTCGATCTGCGATTCCAAGTCGTCCAAGTCGACGATCCAACCGCGTTCGGGCTAAAAACGGATAACAAAGTTTGGTGAGGCTCAGTGTGAAACGTACAGCAGCGGATAAAAGTTGAAGACGGTCCGTAAATTCGATTACATTTTCTAAGCATATTATATCTCTCTTCCGTGTCTCCTTTTGGTGTAACTGTGCGTTCGGTCTTCGTTGGATGATTTAAACAAAAAATAAAAACATGCACACAATGACCAAAAAATAGCTTCGTAACGTTTCTGAAAAATATTAAATTTTCCAAATGCAATTAAAAGTTCGAATTCGATAACTTTTACGTTGAATATTAACATACTAATATTTTTATCATAGTTTCGTTCGATCGAAACAAATTTTGCACAACTGCTTAATTTCTGTCGAACATTTCAAGTTCAAATATTATTAATTACGTTTACCTTTTGTGATTTGTATGCAAACGTAGTAAAGTGTTACATTAACGTTTTGCACAATGGTTTTTAATAATAATATTTAAAAAGTAATTAAAAAGCTTTAAATTAATCCTAACCGATTGTTATGAAATTGCACTAAATTATGCAACATCTTGTTCATTTTATACCGTAAAAAAAAGTGTGAAGTGGAATATTTTTTTATTCAAAGATTTCAACGATAATTTTTCCGAAATAAATGATATTTACATTTAACAGATTGCAACGTGTCTAAGACATAGTATACCAAACGTACGAAGACGTCCGAAAACGAACGACGATGACCGAACGTGTAAACAAACATTAGATCGAACGACAAAAAGAAGGCGTGAAGACATGTAAGAATCGGGTGCATTTTTTGTTTAATAAAAGGGTTAATATACTTTCGTTACGTTAATTTGTGCGTGCGTAATTAGTAACTATCCGATTCCTCAAATTACGTGTGTAATGCCGCCAATAATTTGGAAAACAATTTTTATGGTTATGTCAAAAAGTGTGACTATATATTACTGTTTCCAGTATTTTCGTTTCGTCGATACCGCTATAAATATTTTTAAAGCATCCTGTGTGCAGTCACTGGATCAATACCTGTGTGTGTGTGCATAGAAATTGCAGAAAATGGCATAAATCATGCGATACAGTAAGCTTCGAGTACACAAACTTCTGACGTGCTGTTGAATCTTTAACAATGACAAACTTGGAAAATAAATTACCTTGCGTTACATGAAATTGGTATTAGATCGATTGATTTTGATGTTGAGTACATTGATTCGAAATTATACATAGATAGATTTATTGATTTTTTTCTGAAGTTTAGTTTCGGTTGTGTAAAGTATCCTTAAAGAATGAATGGTGAATTTTTAGTTTAGCAATCACATACATGTTAATGTGTTCGTTTTATGTCAGTTTTATGTCAAAAACTTAAAATTGGACAAATTATTGAAATAAAAGAACATTTTATCAGTTTCTTTCGATTTTAATATTCAATAAACTGAATTTGAACCTAACATTTGATAGATTTCCATAAATCAATTGATTTAGATCTCGAAAATTTCCAATTGCAACGTAGAATTTTTCTTTACATGTTTGTATGCATCAAAATTTCGATTTTAGAATTTAACGTGGGCACGTAGTTTACACGTTACACAAACTGTTCCGTTAATTCGTTTCAAGTTGAGCTTCAAACTATATTTAACAATATTCGCTAAACAAAGTTGAACAGATTGTTAAAATTTAAGTACCATTCAGCTTTTCTTCGCTAAAAATGAATCCCAGACTCCGTGACGTATTAAAAAATTAAAGGTAACCTTGACATTTGACGAGGTCATAATAAGGACTGAGCAGATCATGCGTTCCAAATTAATTTTTTAACGTATACGCCACGAGAATAGAGTCTATGTACGATGCATCGCTTGTGCATCTACTTATACGAAGTATCCACATGTGCCTGCATATAGATAATCAGTGTCAACTTGCACGTTATAACCCACTCTCTCGTAGACAAGGAAAGCTACAGTACTGCGGTTTTAATTACTCCCCCGAGGTAAAATAGCCCGCAGTCTCGAGGAGAAGAGAGACATTAAAACTCCGAACAGCGAGCAAAGAAGAAGCAGAAACTAAAAGAGACCCTATTTTTACTTCGGATTAACATTCGGCTGGTTTTGGAACTAAACGTTTGCTTTGTCAAAAGAATCGTAAAAACAACGGACAAACATTGTTCAAGGTTGTTGCTTCTTGGTAACGAATTAAAAATATATTTACCCGTGCTGCAAAGTATTAATCCGTGGCTACTTCGAGTTTGTTACAACGTTTTTATTTACCGTAGAAATTTGTATCGTTGTAGGAACTCCATTTATTGCAATAAAATTTTCGTCGATGAAACGGAACTTATTTAATGTTGTTAATCGATTCCTGGACACACTGACGCCCTCCATTTTGGAAATTTAAATACAGTTATTGAGTGGTTGAATGCATAGTTAGAAGGAAATAAAATTAATTTACAAGATTCTTAAATGAAAATATATCTACTAATTATTATTGCATTATATGTTTAAAGAAAGAACTTATTTACTAAATTATGAATATATGTACAGATGCCAGTGAACAAAATATTTTCAAAACTTTTTGATCTATCTATTAGGTGTACAAATGAATAATCCAATTTTTTCAGCCACATTCAATGTTTACTTTAAAAGAAAGTAAATTGAATTGTTCCATCAAATCCATCTTTCAGACAGCTGATGAATTCCATCTCGGAAAAATTTTACGTTCTTGGACTCGATAAAGTCGTCAAGCCATTTTCGGATCTCATCCACTGATTGGAAGTGCATATTTGATAAGGCGTGTTGCATCAACCGGCACAGGTGATAATCAGATGGAGCAATGTCTGGTGAATACGCCGGGCGTTGCAAGACGTCCCAGCCAAGACTCATTATGGTGTCTTTTGTATGGGAAGCAATATGTGGCCTGGCATTGTCATGCGACAATTTCACTGGACGTTCTCCTTTGCCAGTATACGGACGTTTTCGTTCCAATGCTTGACTCAAGCAGATTAACCCATTTGCATCCAAGCGCGGAATATTCCGTGAGCCGCGCGACTGTCTACTATCACCAAGCGCGGAATATTCCGCGAGCCGCGACTGTTTACTATCGTCAGTTGAACGTCGCTGATGTTTCGATGCGGAAGCTTAAGTAGAGCGATGATGCAAATGGGTTAATTGACGTTGGTAACTGTTTCACCCGGTTCCAACAACTCCTAATAAACCACGCCCTTGATATCCCACCAAATGCAGAGAAGAACCTTCTTTCCGAAGCGATTGGGTTTTCCAACCGCTGTTGATGCTTCGCCGGGATTTACCCATGACTTCCTGCGTTTCGGATTGTCATAGAGTATCCACTTCTCATCGCCCGTAACGATTTCCCACAATAAAGACTTTCGACTTTGCTTATTGAGAAGAGAAAGACACGCTGCCACTCGTTGATTTTTGTTGATTGCAGTGAGTTCATACGGAACCCATTTTCCTTCTTTTTGGATCTTTCCCATCTCACGTAGGCGTTTGGAAATCGTTTGCTGGGTTACTCCTAACTGTTTTGCAAGTTCTTTTTGCGTTTGTGCCGCATTCTCAGCGAGCAGTTGTTCCAAATCATCGTTGTCGCACTTCCGGGAGCCTCCAGGGCGTTGTTTGTCGATTAAACTCAAATCACCGCTTTTAAACCGCTTAAACCAAAATGCGTACACATCATACGATACAAAACATTCACCGAGAAAGGAACAAATCGATTCGTATGCTCTTGCAGCATTTTTCCCTTGTTGGAATTCGTAAAGAATGCAGTGTCGGATATGCACCATATCTGTTGCCATTTTCGACTCTACTGAATTGAATATTTTTGAAGGTTATGTTGGGCCTTTCGCTAAACTATCTTTTGTTTTAACTAGCTATATGTCAACACTATATGAACGCAAAACAGCGGGAAAATCTATTGACTTTAAACTTGATTTTATAACTGCTTAAGATAATTTGGATTATTCATTTGTACACGTAATATAATATTATGTGCAAATTTTTAATTTTGTTCTTTTATGTAAGCAACGGCCAGAATTTTCTGATACGCTTAATATTAGTTTACATAAAATATAAGGTGTGAAATATGAAACGTGTAATAAGATCTAGAAAATTGATTCTAGCTACGGATGAATATACTTGTTACCGGAAGAAACAATTGCACGAGTGTCGCGTTATGTGAGAAATTATACCGAATGATGGAAATTTATTTCTGAATAAGGAACGTGGTATCGGTGTACAGCGAAGGCGCGACATCGGAAATCTTGGTAGATATTTCTTGGTGTATATCTTTATACTTACACGTAAATTGTAGGGCTTTACGGTGATCCCGAGACCCTCTGCTAGTGTTCGATAGATCGAAAAACCAGGTCGCGGTATCAGGATATTCTGACCCTCCCGTGCCAGAGCTGTTATGCAGAGATCGAGTGCACAGGAACATCCGCTGCAGAGGATTACATCCTGACAAAAGTAATGCAACGAAGAATTCTATAGATAAGTGCCACGAAAACAATTTTATTCGCGTATTTATTCGCCAACTGTTAATGATAACTGTCATTTGCTGTACTATTATCTCTCGTTTGAATTTTTCAACGGAATTCATTTTTCTTTTAATAGTTTCCGCTCGAAATGTCAATTGTGTTGATGTCACATCCATTTCGACTGTATTATACTAGAAAATGTTATATAGTTTTTGAATGAGTAAAATAATGAATAAATAATAGACTCTAATGTTTCCTTTTTATGGAAGAAAAGGAAACCAAAATTTCTGAAAAATGCTCGTTAATTATCAAGATGGCGGAACAAAATGGTAAAATAGTAAAGTGCAAAGGGCTAGTCTTCTTTTTGGATACAAAGTTTGTTATATTAATCATTCCAAACTCCTTTAAAAAACATCACTATTATACAATATTTCTTCTTCCTGTTACATAAATAGTGAAATATATTTTAAATTTATCAACAATGTACTTTAATGTGACTTACATTATTTTTAATATGACAATATGGAGAAAAAGTGATCAAACTTAGAAAATAATTTTAAGTTACAATTTGGAAAGGTACCTTTAGAACTTTCGATAAAAATAGTGTTAATATTGAGTTTACATTTTTTCACAACCTGAAATGTAATTTTAACCCATTATCGAGAATTACGAAAAATTTTTGCGAACTCAATTTTAACATGCCACGTTTGCCTAAGTATTTCAAATATTTGATACCATATTGTAGACGAGATTGAAAAATAAATTGAAAATTTATTTATAATAATTCTATCAGAGGTTACGAGGGAATTTTCATTTTGAATAGCAGAGATCAATGTTGGGCAATGTGTATTTATACGTATTAATATTTTTTATTCGCAATTTCTAAATAAAGAAATTTATTATTTACATTGGAATTAATAATGCAACAATGATTATCGAATCAACGTTTTTTTATTTAATTCTCATACGGGTAGTAACAGTTTGTATTAATAGGAAATTAAAGATTTCACTTATATCGAAGAAAATATGATTGATTAGAATAAGTTAAAATCAATAAACCAAATAAAACCAATTTTTAGACAAATACCACAAATTCGTGATAAGTACATATATTTTTTTACTTAAATTGCATCGACTGATCTCAACTAATTTTTGTTTCAGCAATTTATTTTTCGTTACAAACTGATTAACTTTTCTTTGAAATACTTTTTGAGGACTTTTCTGTAAATGGAATTTCTCACCGTTTTTACATTTTCACGGATAATATCCAGTAACGCGTGTAAATAATTTTGTAAAATTATGCTACTATAATTGGATTTCATATGTAATTAATACATTTGATTTACTCGCGAATTCAAATGAGCGTATCTAAATGGAATTGTGTATACAACGCGAGTTTCGATAATACAGCTTTTAGTAAATCAATAACAGTATGGTGATGCTTCTATCGTGTATTTTCTTTTTGATATTTTTTCACGAAACTGTTGTTTCGAAACCATCACGAGTTTTGAATAAAAAACAAACATAACATTTTGATCCTTTATTAACTTTCGAATCCACACAGCTTTCAAAGAAACTGAAATTTGTTCACATAAAATTTTACGCCGACGTTAATTTCAAAGAAAAATGAAGAAAAATTTATTCTAATTATTAACTGAATTTTTGTATACAATATACATTTCAAATCAGGACTTTATTATCATTTGTCCACATACTAAAGTTGAAATACATTGGGTCGATATCTCATTGTGATCGATTCTATCGAAAATTTATATAGAACAAAAATGTTTCTGATTTAAATTTCTAACAACTTGTTATACATAGTTTTACCGTAAAAACAACAATATTGCATCAAAACCTTCCGAGAAGAATTTTGTAATTTTGTAAATGTTAATTTGAATTAAATTTTATATGAAATAATAGAATTTTTTCTTTAATAAAGAAAGAACTAAATGAAATGTTATCCAATGCATAAACCTCATTAATGAATTAAACCATAAATGTATTAACTATTGTTCCTGTTCGACCTTATTTCAAATTTACACTATAATTGTGCATTAATTAATATTTGTTTATTTACGGGAATATTAACGGGGTTTTATTGAAATAATTATTTCCGTCAATTACAAGTATTAAACCAATGAATATTTATGTATATCAAAATTTATAATATTTGACAGACAAATATTTTGTCCTTGTATTTTTCATCGAAGGATTTGAATGCAGAGATTTATACTGTATTAAGTTTTCGATAGGATGTTCACATAATTAACTTGACGTTTCGATGAATGCCTCGAAATATTGTTTTATAATACATTTCATAGTGCTGAATACCGAATATTTCTCTTACGATTTTTTATTTAACAATTTCAATACAGCAAACTTTATAGAGTCGTTAATAAGATTTTATCGTATTTTACAATAAAAATGTACAAATATTGCATTCCACGAAACAAAATAATTATAATAAAATTAATTCTAAAATATTTATTAGTTATTATTAAATATTATTAGCACGGCTCGCCGAAATGAATGACAGACTCTCAAGGGGCATATTAAAGTTTGAAATGCCGTTAACAGTTACTACTTATCGAAACCAACATTTTCCGCCACTCGTAAATTACAGAAATTGCAACTAGCATAATTAGCAGCGCGAAGAGTTGTTTCCAACTCGTTTAAAATTTCAACTGTAATTGTGCATTAATTAAATGGTCAACCTGCAATCGTTTATATTTTTAATTCGTTTGAAAATCGCGATAATCAGTGTTCCTCGGTTTTCTTTCTTTTTTTTTTTTTAAATTACAGAGTTGCGACTCTGGTTCAACCAATTTCTACAAAAAAATACATAACGTGTTATTAAAATGTGGCAAATGAGAGTTAAGGTAGTCTGTAAATTTCTGGATCAAAACTCACTTCCGGTTCCACTTTCACGAACTCGTTGGAGCTGTATTCTGCCACTGCTGCCTTTGCACTTTGATAACCTCAAATTAAAATAATAGAAATCGATTTAGAAAGATTAATCGTTAAATTTTTAATTTTGTCGATTTTTTTTTATTTTTTATTGATATTCGTTTGATGCTTCTTAACGATGATGTTACGATTAGTTTCTAGTGGAAGAGTGTGTAGCATCAAAATTTTCTCATTATTAAAAAGTGTATAATTAAATTTACAAAAATAGTTTATTCTCTTGTAAGAATATGGAAATATGTATTTCTTAAATTCGAAATCGACAAATAAAATCTTTAACATGATAGATTTATTCTTCGTTTACTTTAGTAATTCTCTGTCGCCAATATTATATGGGGGGATAACAATTTATTCAATTGTTAATATATTAGTACCTGTGCTGGGTGCGTATCCATTGTACATTTGCGAAGCAACACTTTGTTGAACAGCATCGATCACTTCAGTCGGCGGTTTTAAATTACCAAACGTAGTAGGATCACCTTAAAATAAAAAATCTATTAACATTTGGAGGTACGTTTAATCGAATGTTTAAATATTACACAAAATCAAAGGGGGACAAATTTTTAAAATTTCATTTTAGCTCAAATTCTGTGCTTGTCTGAGCCATTATGTATTATTAATAACAGCGTTAAAATAATTATTTTTTAGAGAAAATTTATAATTTAGAATGTTTAGCTAGCTAAGCTTTTTTAAAATTTATTCAAAATGGCCACGGAAGGCTCGAGGCGGCCGAAATATCTCGAGCCGTGGCTCTAGTGCTAAACGAGACATTAAAAGTAACTGACTTCAAAGTAATTATACGCGAACAGGCCGCGATAAGCATGGAACACGAAAGTATCTGGTCTCGCGAAATTCTTCGCCAATCTCAGAAACTTGTAAAGGGAAACTTTCGTTCGTCTGTTTCGTGCAGCTTTTCTAATATTTAACAAAATGAAATTTTGAGGCTCCTTCCAAAGTAAAAAATGATCCAGGAACATTTTCAAATTCATTTTCCTTTTATGGAGACAGTAAAAAATATATTCAGTAAGATACAGATATTTATTATTATTATTATTATTTTGTCATACATCATTAGTTACTACTTAGTGAAACATTTTATTTATTTGTGTAATTTGACTGAAATAGAAAACAATTATTAAAGATTTTAAAACCAGTCAAATGTATTGACACAATTAGAAAAGAAGGCAAATCTCACCCAAGAAACTCTTTAAACATTTTCCTTTTGTTTAAACAATTTGACCAGAATAAAATACAATTACCAAAGATTTTAGAACCAAAAAACAGACATTGACACAACAAGAAAAAAAGGCAAATCTCATCCAAGAAACTCTACATCTTTTAAAAGATTTCATCCATTGAAGTAGTTTGACCAGAATAACACACATTTATTAAAGATTTTAAAACCAGACAAATATATTGACACAACTAGAAAAGAAGGCAAATCTCTCCCAAGAAACTCTACACTCTTTAAACATTTTTTTTTTTATTTATATAACTTAACCAGAATAAAACACAGTTATGAAAGATTTTAGAACCAAAAAACAGACATTGACCTAACATAAAAAAAGCAAATCTCACCGATGGACAACGAGATCATAGATTTTGTAGAGTTGGGCTCGACGACGAGATTTTCCACGATGGATCGTATGGGGTTGTGCGTCTTCGTCGCGATATCCGACGCCTGGACGTTCCATCGTTCACGAAAACTCGGCGTCGACATCCCCGAGCTGAAGAACCCCAAAACTCTTGTTGAAAATTCCCCACCCTGAAAGTCTTTCTCACATGAAGACACGTCGTCTCTTTGGAGAGGAACCACCGATCCTCAAACTGGATCTCTGCTAAGTCCAACGGGGCCGTGAAATTGACGTTGTTTCTTTACCGAAGAAAGATCGACGGATCAGCGAAAGATAGTGTTGGTCCAGGTGGTGCTCCATCACTGAGACTAGATCGATTCAGATTTACAAATAATCGAAATGTTCCACCGAACGCTGGAGGACGAATGAACCGGTCCGATTGGTCGGTTGGGCTCCACACCTTCTTTCATAATTAATTCGAACGGATTCCCTACTTACGTAGATAAACAGCCTCGAGAAACTTCCTCTGTCGCCGTTTCGATATCGCAATTAAATAAACAGGCCAGGTATTTGACGTCAACCTACGAAGAAGTATACTTCGTTCAAGGTCGTGAATTTCGATTTTCGGTCGAGCATCTTCAACAGTGTCAAACTGGAAATTCGACTGTATACGAAATAAGAAATGGAAGGGGGAAAGAATGGCAACAACGGAAGTTAGGTATGCAGGGGAGTGAGAAAACTGTTATATTCTGTAGAAAAATATTTCGATTAACAAATTTGAGGTAATCGACTGTATATCTGTCACCCGTTAAATAAAACTACAATTTTTATCTATTGTTTATCGTTTACCTTAGATACAGAATTAAATACTTCGAAATACAACATGAAAACAACGTCTGTATTTTTGGTTATTTGGAATTAAATAACGTACTGGATAAATTTGTATATGTTGAATAACGTAATGAATAAATTGCTTTTTGTTTTGGGTCATTCATCACTTATATTCGAATAAAATTGTGTAGATCCTTGATTTATATTAGACAACATATAGAAAAAACAATGTCGTAAACTGTTTTGGTGGACTTGGTGCTCTTAACAAGGCAAAAGTCTTCGCTTCGTTGTGACGACGTTAGGCTCCATAATTAATGCTAGAAAAAATAAATAAAAATCTGCGTTTTGTCTTCGATCTGCTAGTGAACTCGTTACTATTGCGTTGCAAATGCTGCAATAGACGCAGTGTTAATTAATTGACGTTTCTCGTGTATAATAAAAATCGACCGTTGATCGATAATTTACGGAAAATAACAACTGATATTGATTCGTATCGGGCTGTTACCTGTTTGTTCATCGAGGAGACACGTCATTTTAAACATAGTATTGAAACTGTTAATCTGCATGTAGTGTAAATATTTGCTTATAGGAGGTTAAATATGTTAAAGAAATATTTAAAAGAAAGGAGAATTTTAAGAGTGCTTTCTGTGGACATCTTTTTTATAATTATTTGATTACGGTAATTGCAAGTATATGTAAAGAGTTATTTGCGAACAAAATAAATAAAGAGAAATCTTAATATTCCACAAATATATTTTTATCAACGTTTCAATTGTATATTTGAATCATCTTCTCTTTTTTTTTTTAATTTTTAAAACAAACAATATTTCTCTCTTTTTTACTCTCTTCTAATTAATTATTTTCAAACACATAATTTTGTTAATCTTTCTGTCTTCTTATATATGTAATTAGTCTTTTAATTATGTACATAATTTTGCCCAGATTTAACCATGATTGTCTATTGTTATTTTTCCCGCCTTTATTTATGAGTTTCAGATAATTATAATTTGATTAAAATTGTTATTTTTGTAGTTCTGAAAATGACTCAAATATAGACTCGAAACAGTAATAAATATCTATGTGATATTGGGATTTTCATTTATATTTACATGTGTATTTATCAACAATAGGTTAACAAAACATATGGATACAAGATTCTCAAAAACCTCTGCAACAATCTAATAGAAATCATTTCATAGGCTGGACATGACATTAAAAATTGTTTTTTATTATAATTATTTGAATGTTTACGTATTTTTATGGTCAATAGGTTAATAAAATATTGTACTCAAAAATCCTCAGAAATATCTGTAACAACCCAATATAGTTTTATTTTTATTTTGTAGTTTAGATTGTATTTCTTATTGAACAAATAACACGGCAAAAATGGTTTACATTATTTGTTATTTGAAATTTCGTATCAAGATAAAAATTTTGTCGATATCTATCCACGGATAATCTGAATTTATATCTTGCAGTTTTAATGCAAATGTAAATTTGTCGATAAAATTAAAATTCTAGTGCAAGGCAATATGATCAATTTATATCAGAAAAGTTGCACAAGAGCTAAAACCTGAAAAATAAGAGAATTCTTCTATCTAGATCAATGTTTTATTAAGGTTTAAATGATTGAGCATATTTTAATTATATAAAATTATTATTAATTGTTTTTCAGGATATAAACACACTTTGTGATTATTGAAGACTTACTGTTCAGTTCTTGAATTTTTCTTTTCATAAAGAAATAAATATAAATTTCTTCCACTTTAATAATTTAGTCTAAGCAGAAAATCTCAAAAACGAATTAAATGCTTAAGATAAATTACAGGTGAAAGTATAAAGTTGTAAAAATGAACTTTCAATCAATTTTACAACTGAACGTATGAATATGTTTTGAATAAAACATAATTCAATGGAATTAGTTATTAAAGGTGATCTATGCTTTTTTTAAATGGAAACATACGTTTTATAATACACTAGTCTATTTAGTTTATTATTTAAGAAATTATCAGTTTAAGATGTATTTAAATTTAATACTGATACTTTACAAGTAATTTACGTTTATAGATTAAAATTGGAGTTGTACACGTGTAAGTAAGTGTCGAATACAACGCGAATAAATAATATTATTTGTAATGCAAAGCTTTCAAAGCGAACACAAGGCCAATCGCCTGACTTTTCAAACGCGACAACAAAATCACGATACGAGAGAATGATCGGAGCTGTTGAGATACGTAAACAGCGAATTCGTTTGAATAAACTATGAAAGAAGGTGTGGAAGCTGGTCGACCAATCCGACCGGTTCGTTCGTCCTCGAGCCTCCAATCGAAATTCTGTATTTTCGCAATAGTCAGCATTTGTTGCGTGTTTCTTTGAGGTACACGAGTTTATTTTGTAGACCGCTTACCGTTAAGATTGTTGTTTTGCGTTACGTTGAAAATATTGATTACGCGACAGGGGATCTTCAAAACATTTTCGTTAAATGCATGCCCCAGATTGTCTCACATATGAATCATATTCTACTCTTTTCTGTGCATGACTTTGAGAGACACCCTATATAACAATAATAAAGACGTCGACGACGGCAAAAACAACAACAATAATAATAAAAATAAAAATAAAACAACAACAGTATGATATTGTCAATGAGGATGGTAATGATAATGAGAATAATGATAATGATGTTGATAATAATAATAACAACACCACAAGAACAACAACATCAATAATAAAAATAAAACAATAGTAAGAACAACAGTATGATATTGTGAATGAGGATGGCAATGGTGATGAGAATAATGATAGTGATGTTGATAATAATAATAGCAACACCGCATGAACAACAGTATGATATATTGCGAATGAGGATGACAATGATGTTGAAGATAATGATAATGATGTTGATAATAATAATAATAACACCACAAGAACAATAACATCAATAATAAAAATAAAACAATAATATGAACAACAGTATGATATTGTGGATGACTATGAAAATGATGATGGGAATAATGATAATCATAATAATAATAATGGTAGTGATGATGATGATGATGATGATGATGATAATAATACGTTTTTTTTTGTACCAAACTTGCAAGCATTAAACGTAATATTACCCCCTTAAACTATATTATGGTAGAAACCAAAACTGGTTCCGTTTTACGCATGAATTCCTTCACTTTAACTCAATGTCTCAAAACTTCCTGAGTGTTCGTCAACTTCCCTGGTTAATAATTAACTAGGAATAATTTCGATCTTAGACGAGGAATAATACGTATTAATTCAGGCGAGAATTTTCAGAAATCACGACAATTTAAATGGAAATTTCAGAATAATCGGAATTCGATATTAATAAAAAGAAATACTCTTTACAACCTAGTAGTTAAATTATTATTCAATTATTTTATATTCCTAGAAACAGTAGTAAATGATAGAAAAAATTTATTTTTGATTAAATATTCTGGTTGACAATATTTAATTTTGAATAAATTTTCTATCCTAGATCAATTTAAAATGAATTTTTCCCAATACATGTTTGCCAAAGTGTGTACACATTTCATCCTTGGGACTCTGATTTTATTTAATTATTAACACGAATTGAATAAATAGCTATTATATTAATTCCATGTACGGTTGCAAAGAAGATGTTAATATTAAAAGAATCGAGCTAGGAATTCCATAGAAGTAATTGAATTCTATCACACAAAATCTCCAATGAAAAGCAAATACAAACTACATCCCACTGTTTGCTTTGTGCAATCTGATCTATCCAGCCTGATCAAATCCAGCCAAGAATTGGAAGTTTTCAAATATATGCAAAATCTAGACCGACTGGAAAAGATCATGTTTTACACTTTTTCAGGACGGAAAGCTTGTTATTTGAATTGGTAATTTCGTTTCGACCATCCGAGCGCATCGACGAATGTAGACGCCGTTAAGCTTATTCAATCAATAAAATGACAATGCTTTAGGAACAGTATTGTTCCCGTGATAAATATTTTCGAAAACACTGTGAAACCAATCGCAATTTTATCGACGGAAATCATCTGTATGAAATTTTATTAAACGTCAAACTTTTTCAAACTTGTGTCAACAAAATTGTTTGAATCAGCTGATACTTTGCAGCGTTTATTTATTTGTCGTTTTCAAATCACGTAATAAATAAAAACAGAACATTTATAAAATTGTGGAATTCATATTAAAATGTCACGTCACATAGAATATTTAGAAAACTTTAGTTCATTTTCTTATAAAGTTATATCTATACTGTGTTTTTAAAAACAGCGTGCAAAATATCTCGAGATCCAATTTTTTATTTTTACGATTTGTTTTTGCATTTTCGATAAATGAAATACAAATACCATTTTGATAATTTTTGGAAATCTTCGATGGTCAGTGTATGTACTCTATGAATATACTCTAGTTTCAAGTATTATTTATTCCAGGTAATTTCGTTTGGTAGGATTTTTGTTCTCCATCTTGAAAAAAATTAACTCCGAGCGATAGCATTAATAATCTAAATAAATAGCACTTAAAATAAAATTGAAGCTGTTTCCTTGTATATTATTATACCATTGTAAAATAAGTCATCAAAATTTATACCACTCAAACATTCACTTCTTTTGCCGTTATTTTAAAATATAAGTAATTTTCTAAAACTGTAAAATATTTTACGAGACTAAAACTTTGATTTTAAACAATTGTAAACTACATAAATTAACATTTGGCTTTGTAATTATTCTCGTAACTAAAATTCATGAATCCTATTCAAAGTTATTAACATTCAAACTTGAGAATTAATTGTTTTAGTTCGGAAGTGAAAAATAACAGAGTTAAGATGGTCGAAATAGGTACTCCGTAGAAACACGTGGCCAGGGTTCGGTGAAAATCAATGATAAACAGAGGAAAACAGAAAGAATACGATCTATTCGTGACACCTGTACCGGAGTAGTATAGCGAGATTGAAAAACAGATATCCAGGAACAATTCACTGGTGCAGTAGCCGCTTTTATACGTCCATCGTAGCTGACGTATCGTATTTGTGCTCGGGAAACTCGAAGTACAATTTCAAGTGTAATATCGTGATCGCGGTGAGAGACTCGCGATCCGAGGCTAGAAAAACTGCGTATGCTAATAGATCGATGCAGATCGCTAGCAATGTGGGTTACATGCACATGGAAACATAACAGAAAACATAAATTGCTCTAATTTTATTTAAATTATATTATATTACAAATATTGGTGAAATAATTGTCGGACATTAAATCACAATATTACGATATAAGAAATTCTATTATTCGAACTAATTAAATTAAAATTAATTATTTATAAAAATTATTTTAAATATTTAATAATATAACGTTTTTATTAATAATTTCACAATATTTTCATTTCGAGATCCAAAATCTCCATTTTCGGAACCAAATTTGTATTTTTGCGAATCGAACGTGCCAACTTAACGGGAATCGCAATGGTCGAAAGACAAGGATCGACGAAAGAATAAAACGAGCGAAGTTTAAAAATAGAATTTTATTAGCTACGTAGCAAAATAATTACTCATTTAAATATTTGGCTTGACACGATTACCAGGCTAGATTCATTTATATTAATATACAATATGTAAAATGTGCCATATTGGATATGGGCAGTGTCCGATGGTAGTACGATAAACTTAATTTTCATACGACATTAACGAGATATAAATATATATATAATATATATATATATATATATTACTTTACATGCTAGAAAATAGTATGCTAGGCACTTGTTTGAATAATTATAGAAAAAGAAAACTTACGGCGTACGGGGGAAGGGCGCTCGCGGGAAATTCGAAGGCAGGCAGTAAAACAAGAGAAGTCCAGCGAGAGATGAGAAAAGTAATCCGTGAAGTAGGCAAGAGAAACGTAGGAGACACGAAGAGGGAGCAATAGAGGGTGACTGGGACGGGGGTTAAAAAATAATGAGGACAAGATGTATGCACCGGAACAAGGGGGAGTACGAAAGAAACGAAGGAAGAAGCTTCGCTGTTCTCTTTATTTCGACATCACCGGTGAGAATTCTTGTCGAAGAGTCCGGTGAACGATCGTTCCTCCCTTTTCGTCGCGAGACTTTGATCTGTTCCTTTTTTTCTATTACGATTCTAGTTATCGGTAGTAATAATCTTTGTCGAGTAAAAAAAAAAAGACAGAGGAATACAGAGAAAAACCATGAGTAAAAAGGCAGAGAGCAAAGAACAGACGCGCGTTCGTGAGTCTACGTGCTCTTCATACACACTTGGCAGCGACTAATTCTGGACCTAAGGGTTCCTGCCTTCAAGGTCTGTTTCTCGGGCTTTTGGAACTGTTGCCACTCCTCGATCGTGGACATCCAAAAGCTGAACTCGTTCGCGTAATAGTGGCAGTGTCCTTTCGCGCCGTTACATTCGATGAACGGCGTCGCTCGGAAGTCCTCCAGGCAGGATCCAGGACTGGACAACGAGTGTCCGCCACCCTGGGACCCGGCACCCGTGTGCTAAAATGGTATTATTCAAATTAAACAACGAATTTTTTGTTAAAGAAAAAGATCAAGACTCGAAAACTAATATGATGATCCCTCGTTAACGGGGAAAATAATTTCGTGGAAAATTGTGCTAGAGTTGGACGAACGACAATTTTATCTGACCAAGCAAAGGTATACAGAGTATTCTAGAAACTCAGACAAATTTTAAGTATTTTCTATGCGAAGATACAAAATGATTAATAGAGAAAAGAAAATCGACAAATATAAGGAAAAATGAATTGCTCTATCTAAAGAGTCCATATTGCATTTGCACTTATGAACGAAGAAAAATTATACTGTTGAAAAACAGTCCCCATCAGCAATGAACTTTGGCTTGTCTTAGTTTCTAGAATCGTCTAACATACTGTAATAATGTACTTTAGAAATAAAAAATTTAAATTTGTAAACAAGAATCTACAGGGTGTTTGGCCATGTCTGGAAAAAATTTTAATGGGAGATTCTAGAGGCCAAAATAAGACGAAAATCAAGAATACAATTTTGTTTATGGAGGCTTTGTTAAAAAGTTATTAACGTTTAGAGTTCCGTTTGTACTGAATTTTTTCTAGAAAATGGTTAGGATTTGGGGTATAGGTCTATTCACCAAAAATTTTTGTAATTGACCCCCGCAACCGAAAATAATTTTTCCAGAACGATTTGAAATTTTTTAATTTTGTCGAAGAATTTCACACCTTCTCAAATTTTTTTCTCGAAAGTGGGTAGGATTTTGAAGGTATGTCTAATGACCAAAAATGATTGTAATTGAGCTCCGCAACCGAAAATAATTTTTTCAGAACGATTTGAAATCTTTTTTTTCGCCGAAAAAGGGGACTACCCACTGTCGATTTTTCTTAAAAATTACTTTTTGATTTTCAGTAATTTTATTTGACGCCCTATAAAAATGTTGTCTAATATTCTTTTGTAGGTACCTATGAGCTCTGCTTCAGAAACAAATTTCAATGAGATACCTTTACTATTGTAGGAGTTATGGCCGTTTAAAAATTGGACCAGTTTTAGGGGGTTTTTCTCACTTTACGGTGTCAAGGAACAACTTTTTCAATATTGTTAAAATTTCTACATATTCTCCACTAAAATACGCGTTCTTTGCATTTTGAAAAATTAAAATCCTTCAATCCGTTCAGGAGTTATGACATTTTAAAGATTCGCATAAAATTTCAGGGAATCGTTGCTGGCCTCACAACAGATTTTCAATAAAGAATATTTTTCTCGAAAGTGCGTAGGATTTCGGGGTATGTCTATTCACCAAAAATGCTTGTAATTGGCCCCTGTAACTAAATATAATTTTTTTTGTATAAAAAAATAAATCTCTAAAAAGTTTGGAAACCACTGGTTTAGATATTGATTGTTCTCGTAAAATTTGAACTTTAAAGCTTTCGATTGAATGGAAAATTAATTTTCGTACCATAACGAAACTGTATCCGATCCAAAGACCATTCCATCCATTCGGACATTCTGGAATGCTCAATGATTGGCTGTGAACAGCTATCGTGTTCGCTGGAACTTCACACACCACGCACCTGTGCAAAAAAAATGTGCCTTTTAATCATTGATAGTAATAAATACGCAAAGCAGTGATAATAATTTAAGTTCACGCGTCAGACATTTGCGATTTCTTTGGGTAGATTAATAGTTTCACCAGTATCGTATTTACTTTCTAGTAATTTAGAAAACCTACTTTTCGAATTTCAAATTTTTAAATCGAATATTACATAAATGTTCAAACATTAGCTCTACATAGTTTCATCATTAAGCAAACATATTAATATAAATTTAAAAAGAGTATTTTTAAATATTTCCAGATCCTCAAGAACTTTCATCGCAAAGTTGTGAACTTATAAAAATTGAAGTTTTCTTTGAATTTAACTCGGTGAACTGTTTTGATATGGACAGCCTATAATGTCTAGAGTGTAGTATAGTATTTCTATAGTGAGATTATAGACCAAATTATGAGTTTGGAATGTAGAGATAGATAAAACATGAACCTGAACAAGTGTAATAAATTGAATCGATGATGACTGAATGAATCGAGACTGTAGAATCACGTATACGTGACAGCGGCCGTCAAAGCGGTAAAGTGTTAGATGGTCTACAGTAAACAAACATTCTCGCCGTTTTCTTTTGATGTTCGACTTACCTGGAGATGAATTCTTCTATCGCCGTTTCTTCGACTGGCATCATGGGAATTGGAGAATTGGTCGACAGCCAATAAGAACGATCATTGCGGCTGGCGTAATGGCAAACGTTGTTCACGTCGCAGAAGAGGAAGGGCATTGTCGAGAATTTACGTACGCATGAACCGGCGGAACCTGTTTCACGATAATTTATTAGATAAGTTGTACCAGTACGAGAAAAATTGTGACGCGTGTAAGTTTCGAAATTAACGCGTTGATCGCTGATTCTTCGAACTTTTAACATGGGTGTACATATTAAGGTCAAGTTTTATAGAAAAATACATAGTAGATTAAAAGGCATATGCCGCTTGTGCATACAGAAAGAAATTTTTTAAATTACGCGAGCGTAACTATGGTTTGACTGAAAAGAAATTGAGAAACTCAATAATAGACAAAATGGGAATTTTGAAACGATTATACTGATTTTTTTTTTTTTTTAATTTGTCAATTTAATGCTTGAAAAAATACCTCGGTTTTAAAATATCGGATCTTCCGTAGTTTCAATTTTTAACTTTAATTTATTTTTAAGAATTGATTTCAATTATCGAGAGTTACGTGAAAGTTGTTAATACTTTCATGGAACTGTAAAAGTTTCGAGTTAAAAATGTTCTAAAAAGATACTAATGAGATATTCGATGTAAATCAATGGTATGTAAATATTTAAGTAATAAGTAAGTATAAGGAATTTTATTATATATTTTTATTTGTAATACTTGCCTAAATCTTGCGAATGTGCTCTTTCATCGCCATCCATATACAACAGACTGTATCCATCCCAGAGCTTAAGGTGTCCTGGTTCACAAACGGGCACCGACTGACTTTGGCTGTGTTTCACCAACAACATACCAGTGAGATCGCCGGATACAGCTTCGCAGGGTCTTCCCGGTTCTCCTGGAGAACCTGGAACACCTGAAGGTCCTTCAGGACCTGGGAGTCCAGGGACACCATTGATTCCTCGAGGACCTGGGAAACCAATTGGTCCCATCGGTCCTGGAAGCCCATGTGAACCTTTCAATCCATTCAATCCAGGCAATCCTTCTGGTCCCAGAAGTCCCTTATCTCCTTTTGGTCCCATTGGACCGGGAGGGCCTGTAAAACAAGTATTCAAATACTATATTTAATATGCAGTGTTAAATAAGAAATTTACGTTCCAACTTAAGGTACAGTCAACGACTAAAAATAAAATATTATTCTACCCTATTTAACCCATTTAGTTAATTTGAAAACTTTATAGTAGAACTGGTATCATAAAAAAACTTCATTTACAAGTTCCTCTTTTTTTCTATGGAATAAGAATTCGTAAATGGAAATATATATTTCTATTTAAAAAAAACAAAATTGACCAAATAACTTTGAAAATGTTTTATATCTAATATTTTCCCTGTAAATATATTGTTTTCGAGATATTTAGATGTAAAGTTTTCAAATCAACATACATATACACGCAATTTTCCAAACTGACGTCCGAAAACAAATACTGAAACATTGTTTGTAACACTTTTTAAAATATTTGTACTTTAATAACAACAATTTGGCGCTTATGGAATATTTTTCATTTTTCTTTTGTATGAATTCAAATTTTTATTAAAAGACAAAAACATTTTTTTCCTTTATAATTCTTATTTACTTTGCATCGACCTCTTGGTCATTAATGATTAAATTACCCCTACGATTATTTTATATTTTTGTAATTAAACGTTCTTGAAATTCTATTGGAAATAAATAAATTTAAGAATAGTATTAACCCATTCGTGCAAAGAATAGTCTAAACCACAGAAAAAGTGTTCCATTCTACGTGAAATGTTAAACGTATGCTAAGTTTCACTTACTCTTCTGAAATTCAATTTCTTTGACATTTTACAAATGGAATTACTGCAGTACGTACCAGGATATCCGCGATCTCCTTTCGGTCCCATCGGTGGTTCGATGCAATCGTCTCCCTTTTCACCTTTTGGACCAGGGTAACCAACGGGACCCATTAATCCTACTGCACCAGTGTATCCCCTATCACCCTTTTCTCCGACTACTCCAGGAGCCCCATTCACGCCATCCCAACCTCTATCACCTTTTTCTCCAGGTGCTCCGTCAAAACCACCCAGGCCTGCGAATCAAACAAAAGGAATTTGTTTAAAAAAATTGTTCAAAATACATTTTACAATTTGATATCTGTTACTAGATATTATATAATTTTTCGATCTTCATAAAACGTTAATCGAATTTCTGTTACGAAACGTTGTAGGCGTGCAGAATGATAAAAAATAAGAGTGGTAATTTAAGTTTTAAATGATAAAACTATGTTTCAAAGTTTCAGTCAATGTTATCTTCGAAATTATTGGATATACATATGTATAAGGAAGTTTTAAAAATAAATTGAAGTATTTTTTATGAAATATAACATAGTGTATACATTAGGAAAAAAATAAATAAGAAAATGACTTATAAACACTTACATATTAAAATAAAAATCACTTCATTAAAAAACATTAAGAATATATTTGGTGAAAGTGATTTTTTTTTACTTTTTTATTTATTTCTCCGAGTGGTATCAAAATATTTAGATCACTGATCTTGCCAAATACATATAATAAACAAGTACGAATAATTTATTTTTAGTGAACCATACTAAGTGAGTAAACAAGTCTAAAGATTGATATTCACTGCTCAAAATATATTTTATACACACACATTGGTTTCTAATCATAAAAATCCATAGAATTGTGAATTTCTGGGTATCTAACACCGATTAATTTATAACGCCAATTCAAGACAGATTACAAATATACGTTTAAAAAAAAAAGGAAAAAAATTGATGATAGAATGGATGGGGAATTTTGTGCACAGCGAAAGTAATTCGACTTTTATCACTATTTACCTGGGGATCCTGTATCTCCCTTCTCTCCTTGAAGACCTGGTAACCCTGGTGGTCCTACGTCTCCTGGGAGGCCTCTTTCACCAGGTGAACCCGGAATTCCTTCAGAACCAGGAATTCCATCGCGACCAGGTGAACCAGGAGTCCCTGAAAGACCCATATCACCTTTCTCACCCCGTGGACCAACAGGTCCGTAAGGTCCCTTATCTCCTTTGTGTCCTGGCAAACCAGGCAACCCTCGAACTCCCTTCTCTCCTGGTCGTCCTGCTGTTCCTTTTCGTCCATGCTTTCCAGGCGAACATGGCACACCCTTTTCACCCTTGACAGTTAACCCTGGGGCACCTTCAATTCCGGATGGTCCTGTTTCACCTGAAATAATAAATTTCATCTATTAATACAACGAACTTTAACACGATGGATTAAATCTCTATCCACTCGAACGTTTAAATAATATTTGATAACGTATAAAACAAGAAATAAAAAATTGGAAAACATACCTTTAGATCCAGGAGGTCCATATGGTCCTGGATTTCCCATTAAACCTGGTGAACCTCTATCTCCTTTCTCGCCATTGTATCCAGGAGGACCATCCAAACCACGATCTCCCTTGTCTCCACGAAGACCTGCTTGTCCAGGAATACCTGGTTCACCTTTCTCGCCTTTAACCTTAATCGTTGGTCCAGGTGGTCCACGATCACCTTTCTCTCCGGGTGCACCAGAAATACCAGGGTGACCAAGAGCACCTATGCAAATAGTTCTTATTTATTAGAAATTCATTGTTATCAAATTATCCGTTTGGTAATTTCGTTTAAGAAGAAATACTCCTGTGACTTGATACTCTTTGTCTTAATTCTTACCTGGGATGCCACGATCTCCCTTGGCACCGTTAAGTCCAGGACGTCCTGGAGGTCCCATTTCACCATCCAAACCAGGGAAACCGACAGGTCCAGGTGGTCCAACGTCACCACGTTCGCCAGGCAATCCATCGATTCCAGGTGTACCCGGTTCTCCCGGCCCACCCGGTGGCCCCTATTATAATCAACAGAAGAAATGAATTGTAGATCGCCTTGAAAGAATAATATTCGCAATTTTTTAATTATTTTACTCGAACGTACCAAGTCTCCTTTAGGCCCAGTAAATCCTCTTACTCCACTGTCACCCTTTTGCCCTTGGAATCCTGGTGAGCCATCCGCACCTGGCAAACCAGGTTCTCCCTTCAGGCCAGGTAATCCATCTCGACCAAAACCAGGTAATCCAGATTCTCCTTTCACACCATCGATGCCATCTCTACCCGGAGTACCCGCAGGACCACGGATTCCTGGTACTCCTGGCTCACCTTTTTGACCTTTTTCAGACACTCGACCCGACTCTCCCTTACGTCCCTAATGAAGTCAAGAAACAATACCAGTGAATGTTTCAATAAATTATTAGTATACTAGGCAAAGAAGAATTGAATCCCTATATGACGTTAGGACAATGGTTCTTAACCCTAATGAGATTCGCACATAGATTACTGGAAATTAAAAATATTAATTGTAAGTTAATTGCAATTGTTGTGTAATTGAAGTTACCATTATGTCTTATATCGAGAAACTAGAAGCTTACTTAAGTTTCCAATGTGGCATATTTTTTATATTTAGGAAATTTAACAGAAGACTATAAGAGTATAATGGGTATCTATAAAAGAAAAGGTTAAGAACCACTGTTTTAATACTATGTATATCATCGATACTGACAGTTCTTTGATAATATACTTACAGGAAATCCTGCTGGACCTTGGTCACCTTTAGGCCCACTCAATCCAGTAGGACCATCTAGACCTGGAGGACCAGGAAGACCATCGTCTCCTTTAGGTCCAGATATACCTGGACGTCCAGGTTTTCCTTCCATTCCAGGTAGTCCAGGGAAACCAGCAGCACCTTTTTCACCGCGTTCTCCCCTCATACCAGGTAAACCTTCTATACCATGTTTACCTGGTGTACCTGGCAAGCCTCTTCTTCCGGGATATCCCTTTGGTCCGTCGATTCCTACTGCTCCACGATCACCTTTCGTACCGGGGAATCCTGAAAGGCCTGCCCTACCAGGTTCTCCTGGGAATCCCGGCTCACCTATACACGATAAATTTGATGAGTTTATTTCGAGTATTCAACGAAAGGTTCTCGCCAATTGTGGAATTTAATTCCAGCGTACCTTTGCTTCCATCCAAGCCTGGAGTTCCTGCTATACCAGGAGGTCCCGGTGGTCCAGGTGTACCAGTGTCTCCTTTTTCTCCTGGTGCACCGGGCAAACCACTCATTCCGGACTCGCCGGTATCACCCTTCTCTCCACCATATCCTTGTAAACCCGGCAAACCAGAAGAACCTTCCTTTCCTGGTGGTCCTGGAAGACCCCTTTCTCCTTTTATTCCTGGAGGACCACTCAAACCACGACTACCCTTGACCGATATTCCAGCTTCTCCCTTGTCGCCTTTAAGAGCTGGTGCACCGGGGTATCCCCTAGGTCCTTCGCGACCAGACTCTCCAGGGAAACCCATAGGTCCCATGTTGCCCTTATCTCCACGAGGACCAGGTAATCCTCGCGGTCCAACTGGACCGGGAGGACCGATCGCTCCTGAAGGACCAGACGGACCCTAAATTCATCAAATCATGTTATATTTATATGTTTAAATAGCACGGGTAATTTGAACTGGGGCACATTTGATGATAGTTAACCGTTTTATCAATTTACGTACACACTTACCGATAAACCTTGTAAACCTTTTTCACCCTTAATTCCATCTGCTCCCGTTGGTCCAGGTTCCCCTCTCTCACCAGGAAGTCCTCTAGCACCTTTCTCGCCATTGGTAATGTTATACGGTGGACATTCGCCTATTTAATACACAAGCAACAAAGTAATTGACATAATCTATATATGTTTAAACAGTATGTTAATTTTAATATTTATTTACCGGGTTCTCCTTTGTCACCGTCGTATCCATGTTCACCTTTCAGACCGGGGTGACCTGCTAGACCGGGTTCCCCGGGTTCTCCCTTCACGCTGATACCACTTTCTCCCTTTCGTCCAGGTGCACCTGGCCTTCCAGGAATACCGTCCGATCCAGGGAAACCGCGATCACCCTAAAAGTGTCAGACATAAAGTTAAACGAATCATAGTTTATAAGGTATGGTAATAAAATTTCCAAATCTTGAACCTTTATCTTGAAACTTTAGTGCCACACTTGGTGTAACAAAAATGAAAGAGGCGTGAAGAATTATTACTTACAGCAGTACCCTTAGGTCCAGGGAATCCTTCGAATCCAAGAGCACCTTTATCGCCTTTAGGACCCACTGGACCAGGCGGACCCATCTTCCCTGGTAATCCTCGTAAGCCTTTCTCACCCTTTTCCAAGTGGACATTAGACCACGTAATTGTTGCCGGTGCGCCGGGTGGTCCTGGCGCACCTGGTGAACCAGGAATTCCATCCTTGCCCTGTCGACAGAAGAATTAAAATCTGCTTGAAATACAATCTAATGTAGCTGTATAAATTAATACAACCAATATAACGACTATCTAATACTAAATTTATAGTACATTTGATTTTTAATACGTTGAATTGGATATTATTTCAACTTTGTATCCCTGAGACATTAGTTAACAGTGTGGACAATTTGTAAGTGTCTAATGAATATAATAATCTTGTAACCAGCCACTTAAGTACACAATATCCGTATTAAGATTTCTTGGCTTATCTTTCCAATGCATTTTTTTTCTTTTATTTGTGTGACACTTTATTCTGAATTATTCAATATAATCTCTATTGACTCTGTAGTATCAATGTCTTGACTAAGTATTATTTTAATTTATTTTACACCATAATTGAGATTTCATAAAAAAAAAAACTATTGTGTAAGTCAAGTAAGCAGTGAACAAGTTGAGATTTTTCTTTGATTTATTTTAATAATTATTAAATATACCGGTGAGCCTGGAGGTCCAATCGGCCCAAGCATCCCATCCAAACCAGCTTCTCCAGGGTATCCCCGTTCTCCTGGCGGTCCTCGCGGACCAATCAATCCAGGAGCACCATCCAAACCGCGATCCCCTTTGAGGCCTGGCAAGCACTCTGAACAACGTCCCCCAATTTCTCCCTTTTCACCAGACTCTCCTGCATATCCTGGAATACCGTCTCTTCCGGGAGTTCCCGGTTCTCCCCGTAAACCAGGCAGACCTGGTGATCCTGGAATTCCGTCCATGGAATCGCCTGGAAGTCCGCGTGGTCCTGTATAACCGCGTTCTCCTTTCAGACCCTTTTCTCCATCCAAACCGGGCGCTCCGTCCATTCCTTTGGGACCCTTCATAAATAAACATTTTATAATACTTTAAATTGTGCAAATGTAAGGTAAAGTAAAATGTATTTTTGAAAACAAAATAAAAATTTTCTTTAAAAAAATTCCATAGATTTCTGTTGTATTGATGAACGACGAACGTTGTTATTATTGGTCATGTTTATTAGCGTGTAAACCTACCATAATCGATAATCCTTTGTCCCCTGGAAAACCTCGGGGACCTACGGGGCCTGGTGGGCCGTCAAAACCACGGGGCCCTGGAGATCCTGGGAATCCTGTGAATCCAGACTCTCCTTTCGATCCTTTCTCGCCCGATAAACCTTCAGGGCCAGGAATGCCTTGTTCACCAGGACCTCCCACCGGACCAATTGGACCTCTAGGACCTGGATCTCCTGGATATCCATCTGCGCCTCGTGGTCCAGTAGGGCCAGGGAATCCTCGCTGTCCTTTTGGACCTGGTGGACCTGGTGAGCCTTTGCCGCCCTAAGATTGCAATCAGTTTTTAATACCGCTGAATAAGAAAAAACACACACACAGTAAAGTTCAAACTTTGATAGAAAGAATATTTAAATCTCAAAAACTTTAACGCGTTAACTGACATGCCAGTTTTCCCTCTCTAGAAATATCGTTGAAATTTCTTGAGATTATAGTGTGGTGACATTAGTTTCATGGTAATAAAGCTTTAAAGGTCTATGAATATTTTACGTTTCCAATCCATTGTAAGCTCTTAAGGATAGTGTCAAGGTATGAAAAATGTGATTCCTATAATTCATAAATAGTACTTACTCCAGGTGGGCCTGGTGGACCTGTAATTCCTGGCATACCCTTAGGTCCGTCTCGTCCTGGCTCCCCTTTCAAACCAGGTCGACCAGAAAGTCCATCCAAACCATCATGACCTCTGTCTCCTTTGCGCCCAGGTGGTCCTGGAGGACCGGGGAAACCGTCTGGACCCTGAATACAATAAATATTCGTATGAATTTATATTCCACTAGAATTTTATTTAATTAGTAAGTAAAAATCATTTTTGGTAAACTTACGTGTTCTCCCGGAGGCCCTGGCAGACCTTTTTCTCCTTTCGAGCCGGAAGTTCCAGGTGGACCATGATCTCCTTTCGCGCCGTCGCTACCTGTTGCTCCTTTCTCTCCCAAATCACCCTATATGGAAATATGACAACTATTTAGTCATTGAAAACCAATCACAATTCATATACATAGTTATTCACTTTAACATTTAGGCACAACGGTATTTCTAAGTTTGTATTTCTAAGTTTAAATATATTATTAAATATATTTTTGTTAGTTTATCTGTATTGTGTTAAAGTATTCGTTAGAAACTATAGAAATATATGGAATCCTTTTGTAAGTGTGACATTTAATTGCACAATGAATTTAGAACGAAACTGTCTAGTTTTCGCGTCAATTGTTTTTTACACAACTGTGTATTGTACTTTTTAGTGTCTCTAATAACACTTTAGTAAACTTAAAGAATATCTTGGGCAATATTTCAATAAAGTATAACGAAGGGATTATATATTTTTTTTTATTTTTGAGCGAGAGAAGTAACATTGTTTAAACTGGAAAAATATTTTAAACTTAACGTATTATCAAAGTGTTAATGTGAGTATTTATATTTGACGCTATACCTTGTCTCCTTTTTCTCCCTGCTCGCCTCTGGGCCCAGTCACTTTCGTTATGGTTACGAATGGACATGTTGATGTAGCTACACCAGGAGGTCCTATTTCTCCCTTGTGACCTTTGTCACCTTTGAGACCCTCAAATCCAAGACCCATGTGCCCTTTCTCACCCTTTGGACCTGCTATTCCGGGCATACCCTACGGTAATTTAATATTTTCTTTAATTAATATCTCAAAATATGGTAAATATATATAACTTATGAAGGTATAACCAAAAAGATAACAGTAAAATATTTTTATTACACGTGCTGGTTCCTCCTTTGCAAGAAGAGATATAGTGGAAATAATCACGTACGTTTTATCGAGGTTGGTAAGTGGCCTTTTATCAAGGAGCTACCGTATTGTAATATCACGGTACTCACGTAAGCTCCACGGTCGCCCTTTGGCCCAAGTATTCCACGTTCTCCTGAAGGTCCTGGTCGTCCTGGAGGTCCTCTCACACCATCGATACCCGGTTCACCCTTTTGACCGACAGGGACAGGGCCAGCGAATGCCGGTTCTCCTTTGGTTCCTTTGGGACCGGGAGTACCCGGTAAACCACGAGGACCAGGTTCTCCAGAAATACCGTCACGACCTGTTTCACCCTAAACGACAAGAAAACTTAAATTCAATATAGCATTCAAAATATAAAAATTCTATATACTTTTAGTGCATAAGTAGGATTGTAAATATAAATTAATAATACTGGATGTATTGTTTAATATTGCAAATCAATTGTTTTAACAAGTCGTTTATCGTAGCCTTCTTCAAAACTATAAAAATGGACAGAAAATATTTATATTATATAACAAGGTACTATTAGAACAAAATTACACACGTATAGATAAATTAAAAATAAAAAGTGTACAGTATTTACAGAGAGGAATGATTAAGTGTTAGAGTACAAAATATGAAAACGAAGTCCTGTGTTCAAATAAGTATTGTTGCTTTGAGTCTCTGCATTGCTTCATGTATATTATATTTTATATTATATAAATTTGTTAATTGTTTCATATAAAAACAATAAATAGTTCGTTACAACGTCCGAAATTTATTCCTAACAATTGTTTAAATATAAATGTATTCATTGTTTTGTTTATATATACTGCAATGTAACAGCGCTACGACACAAATTAAGCTCTTAATTACGTACGTACCTAATTTAATATAATTTTCCTACAAGTTGGCAGAGAAAAGAAAATATGGTTCTTCGTTTAATTATTGCTTTTAATATTTGCCCAGTAACAGGATTATTTATACGCGGTGTACGTACATCTGTTCCGTTACATCCGTCTCGACCAGGAAGACCGGCAGCTCCTGATGGACCTTGAACTCCAGGAATACCATTTATACCAGGGAATCCAGGCATGCCCATTTTCCCCTGTGGGACACGACGCAATTAGAACGGTTACGAACAACAATCTGCATGGATTGTTTCATGAACAACACCGATATACTTACTCTATCACCTTTTGGTCCTTGTGGTCCCTGAGAGCCAGGGTCACCTTTCTCTCCTTTGGGTCCCAGGAGACCTTCTCCACCGGGAAATCCCATTTGTCCTTTTGGTCCCTGTATTCCCATCACACCTGGCGGACCCTGTACACGTAAATCGTGTTCGATTAATTGCTCTACATCACAGTGTTTGGACGACAGTTGGGAAAAATTACTCTCGAGACATTAATTTAAATATACGTTTGAAATTGCACAGAGTAGGCGGTGGTAATAAAGATTTTGAAAACAAGCAAATAGTATCGTTGAAAATAAAAGAAAAAAAAATTGATACCATTCGTAGAACAAGTGAATTTTTGTTTCAGAATTATAGTTATATGTAAATTTTCAAATTTAATTTACGCTCGAATAACGCTCGAAATTAATTTTATGTTGAATATTAAACAGAACAGAAGAGAAGAAGAAGGAAATTTAATTAAATGTATATAATTAACGTAGATAATGTAGTCAGAGCACCTGATCGTGACTCTTTAAATGTTAGTAAAATATTTTGTATTGAATTAAATTATTCTTAATAAGCCTGTTACAAATTAACGTGAATACGAGTGCAAATATTTCTTCCCTATCACTTTTCACTAGATCATCATTTCCTGCAATTCCGTTCATTACACCCGATCAATTTCCACTCGGTCGTTCTGTTTTTCAGCCATTGATGCTTTAATTAAAAAGTAACTTCTTTTTAAAACGACGTATACGTATTTCAATCACGTTCTTCTGTAAAAAGTGAATGCCTTTGCAGGGAAAAGTAACAACTGGTTGCCAGAGATCGTTGAATGCAAACAAAAATCGTATTTATTCGGTGACCTTGCCTCTACTAAATTAATTCTGTAATTCGCTTAAAATTAATCGACCATACGAGAGATACAAATATTTTCGTTTAACACCTTGTTGGTTATTAGTGACCACAATTGGGTTACCTAGTGGAATTGATCATATTTAGAGCAATTGGTATACTTTAATGTCTTTTAATAAGTTTAAACCTTTTTTGCATGAGTCTATTTCTCGTAGGATCGTTAGTGAATTTTGTAGCTTATGTTGAATCCTCTTCATATTGTATTTAGGGTAAATTGTCAAGATGTGTTCAATAGTATTTTGTACGTTACAGGTGTCGCAGGAATTTGGTTCGGTTTTTGTGATAAGGTATGAGTGTGTCCAGCTTGAGTGTCCTATTCTTAATCGGGTTGTTTTCACTTGATCTTTTCTATTTAGTGGTAGTGCCGGATTGAAGTCATATATGTATATTGTTTCGAACTTTGTGTAGCTTAGTTGGTCTGCTATTTCTCCATTCTTCATTCCACACTTCCGTTAGCGCCTTGGTGCAATACTTTTGGAGGTCTTGATGAGTTGTCTGCTCATATTTCATTACAGCTGTACTGGAGCTAGCCAGTTTTGCTGCTGTATCGGCCTTTTCATTGCCTTCAATACCAATATGAGCGGGGATCCAGGAATATAAAACTTCTCTTTTGTCTCGCTTAAGGGTTTCATTTAATTCAATAATGTTTTGGATTACTGAGTTATTTGTTTCCAAATTTTGTAGAGCTAGTAGGGTGCTTTTAGAATCAGTTAGAATGATGGATTTGTTGTGTGTTGTTGTTTCTATGTACTTCAGGGCTTGTAGAACGGCTAATGCTTCACTAGTGACTACTGTGAACGTTTCCGGAAGCCTGAATAGCAGCTCATGTTCGGGAGTGCATACCGCACATCCAGTCCCCTGTCCTGATTTTGAGGCATCAGTGAAAATTTGCGTATGGTGTGGGTATTCATTAGATAATTCAGTATATAGACTTTTGAGAACGTTTGAGTTGGTGTTTTTTCCTGCTTCCAGAATTTTTTCGAGTATGCAAGGAGGATCTATCGTCGATGGTGGAATTTGATACTGTATTCTCGATATAATATTTGGTGTATCCATATTTAGTTCTTGCCAATATGTTTTTAGTCTATTGTTTAACGGTTTCGGTAGTTTGGGCTTTTCCTTAAATTCATTGAAATGAGCGGTGTTAGTTAATTGTTCGTAGATAGGATTTGAAGGCGTTGATAATCTGGTTGCTGCATACGATAAGCTCAGTTGTTTTCTTCGAATTTCTAGTGGTGTCAAACCAGCTACGCATAGAATTGCAGTAACCGGACTCGTTCGGAAGGCGCCAGTGGCTATTCTAGCTCCGGCATTATGTATAGGTGCTAATAATTTTAGAACTCGTGGTGTTGCAGAATCGTAGACGATTGACCCATAATCAAGTTTGGACAGAACTAAGGCCTTATATGAATTTATTAGAATTTGGAATTCAGCTCCCCAGTTTTTCGAAGCGATGACCTTCAATATATTTAATCTATTGGCACATTCTTCTTTGAGCTTTTTAAGGAATGGAGTCCAAGTGTATTTGTTATCAAAAATTAGGCCGAGAATTGTTGGCGTGCTTGTTATCAAGAGTTGGTGCTGGCCTAAGTGTAGCTGTAGTTGGTGGTTTTGTGTTGTTCTTTGTCTATCTAAATTGTCTTGAAGGATTTGCTGACTGGTGCTTAGACTTTTCCCGGTTATAAAGAAGGTACAGTCGTCAGCGAATATGGTGTGTTTAACTGGTTTAGAGAAGACTTCAGCGATATCGTTTATTGCAATCAAGAATAAAAATAAGCTTAGTACAGATCACTGCGATACCCCATTTCAGATTTCAACTTTCTTGGATAAATTGCCGTTGACACGGACATATATAGATCTGCTTTTTAGGAAATTGTATATAAATTTTATCATGCTTCCACTTATGTTCCACTTTATAAGTTGTTGTATTATTCGATGTCTCCAAAGCATGTCGTAAGCCTTCTCAATGTCCAAACATATTGCTATTAGATGTTGTTTTTTAAGGAAGTTTTTTTCGCAAATGTTTATATCTAACATTGCAAGGTTGTCAATCGTCGAACGATACTGTCTAAACCCATTTTGATTTTTTCCTAGTAGGTTATTGGTTTCCAGATACCATCGCAGTTTTTTGCAGATTACTTTCTTTAGCAATTTGCATAGGCAGCATGTCAGGGCGATAGGTCTGTAGCTGTCGATTTGAAACTTGTTTTTTTCCAGGTTTTAGAATGGGAACTACTATGACTTCTTGCCACTTGGTAGGGAAGACACCATTCAGCCATATGCAGTTATAGATATCTAATAAATAATTTATTCCTGCTTTTGGTAGTTGTTGGATAAAAATATTTGGAATGTTGTCGGGTCCTGGGCTGGAATTTTTATCAGATTTTAGCGCCGATTGTAATTCGGTAGACAGAATTTTCATGTTGAGGGGGTGATTGTTTGTCTGAGAGATGATATGTTCGTGTCTTGAATTTTCTTCAACACTGGCTTTAATTTTGAGAACTTTTGGGTCGAAATTTTCATTACTCGAATTATTCGCAAAGGTAGTAGCTAGAAGGTTGGCAATTTCTGTAGCGTCTGTGGTAGTCGAATTAACAGAACTTTTGATTGCAGTAATTTGGGAACTTACTTTCTGGCCATTAATTTTCTTCAGTTTATTCCATATTTGTTCACATGGAGTGGTCTTTGTTAAGGATGCGATGTAATTTATCCACGAATTCTTTTTTGCTTGTTTAAGGATTTTCCTTGCTTTGGCCCTTGTCCGCTTGAACTCTATTAAATTGGAATCAGTTGTATGTTTTTTGTATACGTTGAAGGCATGTTTCTTTTCCTTAATTGCATTGCGGCATTCATCATTCCACCAAGGGAGATTTTTTTTCTCTGTATTATTGGATGTTTTAGGAATGGATTTTGTGGCCGCATGGTTGATTACTTCTTCAAACTTTTTTAATATTTGGTTTATTTCCGAACAGTTTGAGGCATCAGGCGTTTGTAGTGATGGAAGGTTTTGATTTACTTCGTGGCGGTATAGCGGCTAGTCCGCTTTTTTGAATTTCCATCTAGGTTGTGTTATATGGTTATCAGCATTATTGTCTATTTGTTCAATGATAATGGGGAAGTGGTCGTTGTTGTATAACTCGGTTGAAATTTCGTATTCAATGCTGTTGAAAATGTTGGGACTGCAGAAGGTTAGGTCTATTAAACTGTAAGAGCCATTTGACATGTTGAAATGAGTGGGTTCGGAATTATTCAACAAGGTGATTTCTGATTTGAGTATTATATTTTCAATTAGTTTTCCTCTAGCGTCTGTGTTTGCAGATCCCCACATTGTGTTATGGCTGTTGAAATCTCCCATTAATAAAAAAGGTTTGAGGAGTTGCTCTATAATGTTGATTAATTCGGCTTCTTGAAGTTGGTAGTTATTTGGAATGTAGACGTTGCATATACATATTTCTTTTTGATGTAGAATGATTGAGACCGCAATTGCTTCAATATTAGTGTTTAGCGGTATTTCTGCGTAATTTAGGCTTTGTTTCATGTAGATTGCTACTCCGCCGCTCGCAATCAAAGCATTCCTTTTATTTTTTTGGACTATGTTGAAACCTTTGATACTGATAGATTCATTTACTTTGAAATTTGTTTCCTGCAGACATAATACGCATGACCGATGATCTTGGAGCAATTTTTGTAAGAATTCAAAACGTCCTTTTAAACTATTAACATTCCATTGTATAATCTTCCTTAGCATTTGTACTTATTGAACGGTATTTTATTTGTTTGATATTTAATTGGTGTATTCGTCTTCGGAGCACTGGGGAGTATCTGAACAATCCGAAGGAGCAGGAGAGCTCATTGAGAGATCAGCCTTGGTAGATTTAACTAGTTTTCTCGTGATTCTTGTGAATCTGTTTTTGATACAACGGTCTGTGAGGTAAGGGTAGAGCTCTTTCATAAAATTTGCTAGAGCTTCTACGTCTCTATGTATTCTGTTGCAATCTCTTTAGTGTTGGGGGATCCAAGTGCGTTTTCAATCAAGCTTTTAAGTTGGTAGAAGTTTAACATCTTATCAGGTTCTTCTAGTACGTGTTTAACTGGCTGCAACATGTCATCTATGCTTTTATCGCTCTTTGTTACAACGTTCGGTTTTTTCTTTGGCTGTTTACATTTCGATTCAGTTTCCAAGATTTGTTGAAGATTGATTGGTTTTTCTGTGGCGTAGTTGGTTCCTTCTGTGGTGAGGCTTGAATCGTCGGTCATTTCGGATTTTGTGCGTTTTAAAGTTCTGATCAATGGATCTATGCCCATGGTTTCTGTTGCTATATTGTTACTAGTGTTTTCTGATTCCTTTGCCATGTCTATACTATCAATATTAGATACTATTGGAACTATTTTGGGGTCTTGGGGTTTCATAAACACACTTGTTTGTGGAGATTCAGAAAGCAAGGATTGGTTTTTATCGGTTTTACAGTTTTTTGCGACATGACCCTCTTTATTACATATGAAGCATTTTAATGTATCTGTGGAGGGATAGATCCAGTATGCGGTTTGTTCATGTTCAATTTTGATTGAGTCTGGGATTTTATGTGTGTCGTCTGGATGGATATATAATTGGCGACGAAAACTCAGGATGTGCGCAAAGCCCTCTTCTGCCATGCCCGCTCTTAGGAATGAAACAGCTGATACTCTTTTCACTCCAATTTTATTAAGTATTTCTTCAATTATTGAGTGAGGGATTGTTGGACAAAAAGTATTATACGTTGAGCTTTGTTGATTAACAGCCTTACGGCTACATCGGTACCGTTAACTTTAATGTGTTTATATTTATCGGTGAGGTCGTCCGCGATTCTCTTACTTGCCAAAAAAAAAAAAATTCTATCGTTGGATACTCTTGACATAAATCTAATATTCGCTGGATTGGTAATTCTGCCTAATGCATGAGCGTAATCTTTTAATTGAATTCCATCTTTGGCTTCGATTACGATCGCTTGATCTTTTTGGGGAAGCAATCACTTTGTACTACTTTATTGTAGCTTCGTCGTGGTGCGTTAGGATTATTATTAACAGTTTGGGGTACAAAATTTCCGTGGTCAGAAGCCATTTCGGCGAATAGGTTGCACCGAGAAAGGCGTAGAGATGGGTTAAGAGGGTGGTTTATAACAATTTACTAATGTTCACTAATTCACAGTCACACAGACTATCATGAATACATGTAAGATTTGATTGGCACTGTATATAGCACTCGCGTTCACAGCACGCACGGTGTTGACAAACATATCCGCTCACTATCACGGTTCCAATCGAACTTCTCGTTATTTATTCTCTTAATAAACTCACGAATATTGAGGTTAAACGAGTTTCTCGCGTCACCGAATGTCAACGTCTCCTTCCGTTTAACATTGTTCGTACAAAAATAAATGCTATAAAATATGAAAAGAATATCAATGTAATAAGTTATTTTCTGTTGAACAAATTAAAAAATAGATATTTAATAGCACAAATATATCAGAGTTATAAAATCAATTGATCATCAAATGAAATAAATGCAGTATTTCATTTGTAGCATGTACAAACGATTGCCAAGATTTAAAAAGAAACTTTTCTTCTTTCAAATGTCGATCGGAAGTAAATTCAATTAAAAATTTTAACAATTTATCAGATTATTTCATAGATCACTGACGTACTTAACTATGATCTGGCTTAATATAAACGAACACAGTCTTAATTCAAAGAAACTTTTTTAGAAACTAAAAAAGTGATGGAGGATTTTAGTGTTCCTCATATGCAATTTCTGAACATTAAAAAAAAAAGATTAAGAACCATCGATATAACAGCTTCTATCCATTTTTAAATTTAGTCGACTCTGTGATTAGGTCACTTTGCTCGTTACTCCTGAAGACGCGTCCAATTTCGAGTGGAATGGTCAGTTACGAATACTCACTCTGGATCCTTTCTCTGCGAAGCATTTTGGTACACAACAAGCGGATCCCTTGCAACCTGGCGGTGGACCTCGACCTACTGCTACAGCCGTATAGCTGCCGCCATAAGGATCTCCACGGTCATAAGGATCTCTAGAGCCGTAGCCCGATCCCGATCCCGATCCTCTGTTATAAGTGTTCTCATAACCTGGAGATCTATTGTATGGATCACCGGCACCTTGATTGTATCGATCACCGGCACCTTGATTGTATCGATCACCGGCACCTTGATTGTATCGATCACCGGCACTTTGATTGTATGGATCACCGGCACCTTGATTGTATGGATCACCGGCACCTTGATTGTATGGATCACCGGCACCTTGATTGTATGGATCACCGGCACCTGGATTGTATGGATCGCCGGATCCTTGGTTGTAAGGATCCACAGAACCTTGTTCTCTTCCGTAACTGTGCGATCGGTTTCCACCTTTTTAACAAAAAAAAAGAGATCATCGTTTAAGGAATCTATCATTAACATTTTAATCGCCACGTTAGCCATATTTTATATACATTACAAGGATAATTATAATTTTATTTTTTTAATTTCATCGTTTGTTGCTTATTTTAATTTCGTGAATTTACAACAAGAAATTACGCTCCACTGGAGTTTTTAAAAGCTCTGGATAAGAGGATTTGCCACTATGAAACTAGAAAAATTAATTCTCAACTTGAAATCTTAAAAAGAATGAATTTAAATTAGATCAGGGGTTCATTTGCAATTGTCTAAAATTAAAGTTTTGATTTAGTGGTTACCTCGAAAACGTGTAAATTAAGTTTAAAAATATGGAAGAGAAAATAAGTAAGAAACGGATGTTGAACTTACTAAAACAAAATAAACTAGTGATTGCCGGTGAATACGTAATAAAGCGTAACGTTATTAACAAATCGGCCTTTGCTATTTTAAAGTTGACCTGTCATACGAGAATTATGCAATTTGTAAATCAAAGTCTACATATATAGGGCGTTCGGCCATCCCTGGGAAAAATTTTAATGGGAGATTCTAGAGGCCAAAATAAGACGAAAATCAAGAATACTAATTTGTTGATGGAGGCTTCGTTAAAAAGTTATTAACGTTTAAAGTTCCGCCCGTACTGAATTTTTTTCTCGAAAGTGAGTAGGATTTCGAGGGTGTGTCTAATGACCAAAAATGATTGTACTTGAGCTCCGCAACCAAAAAAAATTTTTCCAGAACGATTTGAAATCTTTTTTTGCCGAAAAAGAGGACTACCCCTGTCGATTTTTCTTAAAAATTTGTTTTTCATTTTTAATAAATTTGTTTGACGCCCTACAGAAAAGTTGTCCAATACTTTTTTGTAGGCGCCCATGAGCTCTACTTCAGAAAAAAATTGCATTAAAATATATTCACTATTCTAGGAGTTATGGTCGTTTAACATTTCAACCGTGTTGATGGGGTTTTTTTTTTACTTTACGGTGTTAAGGGACAACTTTACCAATATTCTTAGAATTTCTACATATTCTCCACTAAAATACAATTTGTTTGCAATTTGAAGAATTAAAATCTTTCAGTCCGTTCAGGAGTTATGACATTTTAAAGATTCGCATGAAATTTCGAAGAACCATTTCCGGCGTCACATTAGATTTTCGGTAAGGAATTTTTTTCTCGAATATGGTTAGGATTTCGAGGGTATGTTTATTGACCAAAAATGGTTGTAATTGACTCCTGCTATCGAAAATAATTTTTTCAGAATGATTTGAAATTTTTTAATAACTTTTTTACGAAGCCTCAATCAATGTATGTATTGGTATTCTTGATTTTCGTCTTATTTTGGCCTCTAGAATCTCCCATTAAAATTTTCCCCAGGAATGGCCGAACACCCTGTATACTCTGACTTTTGATCGATTTTGGAATTTGTAGAATAAACAAACACAAATTGAACATTTCTATCTGTTTCATTGACTCGCAGGGTCTCTCAGTTTCGCCTGCAATGTAATCAAACCTAACAGAGCTAACAGTTGTCAATTTTCAGTTACCTCCCTCAACGAGAGATCGCTGTTCCCGAACGAAATAAAGGGGTATGTCATCATCTTAACAGGTTGAAAAGATCTATTCCTTTTTTATGTTTAAATTTTATTTCCTTGGGTAAACATGTAATATTTCTCACTCAACTCTAACATTTAGATGCAAATAATCGTACTGTTCTTGAAGAAATATGATTAAACATGAAAAATAATTAAATTATACACCTTTTGACGCCTTTGATGGAAGTACTGTTAAACATAATTACTAAAATATTTTAAGAATCGTACGTTAAAGATTAGTTGTAAATTATACATTCTTGTTTACAAATCTAAATTTTCTATTTCTAAAGTACATTATTACAGTATGCTAAACGACTCTAGAAACTAGGACGAGTCGAAGCTCATTTGTAAGTGGAAATACGAGAAACTGATACAGGAAAAAGTTGAATTCCCCGATGGGGACTATTTTTCGACAGTATAATTTTTCTTCGTGCAAAAGTACAATATAGACTCTTTAGATAGAACAATTTATTTTTCCCTATATGTGTCGATTTCCAATTTTTTTCTCTATTAATTGTTTTGTATCTTCGCATAGAAAATACTTACAATTTGTCTCAGTTTCTAGAATACCCTGAATATGGTTGCTTGGTCGGATAAAATTGTCGCCCGTCCAACTTTAGCACAATTTTCCACGAAACTATTTTCCCCCAAAATTGCAGTCTCTAAAAACTGCACACATTATGACAGTAATGAATTAATATTCACGGAAATTTTTGCACATATATAAAATATGTATCTTTATCGTCGAAATTTATCCGCAGTTCTTTTTTTTTTATCGAATAAAATATTTCGTTTCAACAATACCAACACGAAACAATGTTTTATTCCGATTTAATCAAATTTGAAAAATCACAGTTCAAAGATCCATGTATTTTCACCTAAATTCATATATATTGAATATTGTTTTGGGGAGAAAGCTGCAAACGGCGGTTAATTATATTCACAAAAATTATATTTTGTATTTTTATGGAAACTGAAATCCTCTATTATATTTGACGGAAATTATTTTTACAGAAAAGAAATTAATGCCTTTAATTTTTATACAAAATAAAAATTTTTACTAAATTTAATAACAGTAATGGATTTTATATAGGATATTTAAAGAACTTTGTAAAATAAAAATATGAATAATATTAAAAATTATCACTTAGTGGTTTGACGTTTATTGAAGTTTATTAAAGTTTAAATAATTAATTAAAAATTTAATTCATAATTCCGAAGCAGTGTATATTTTTAGAGTATACAATTTAGAATTTGTTTATCATTGAAAAGGGGAAGGGGAGCTTTAGCAAAATGTAGTTTCTCGTTGAAAATTTGTGACATTAAAAAAAACGACAATCGATGAAAGTAGAAAATAAAATTATGATTGGCACGTTGAAAAATATGGAGTTGCATTGAAATATACATAACGTTTCGAAATAAAAATTCAAAATTTTTTAATGCACGGAAATGCGACTCCAAAATAATTTTCTCGTCGTTTTGTGAATGTAATTCTTAAAGGATACGAAGGAAGCAAATAACACGTTTTCAAAATTCAGTTTTCTATCAGCTCGTTGAATTTTATGGAATACCATAAACTTGCGCGCGCGCATAACTGGTGGTATTATCGATTAATAGGAAACTATTACACAACACTGCAAAGGTAAAAGATAAACGATCTCATTAATTAGCAGCCTGAAGTTGAATCCGTAAATCTCACAATATTGCGGCAAAGCCATTACAGAGAAAAAAGGAAGATGAACGTATTTCCTTGACAAAATATTAATGACTTACGCCATAAATTTTATAATGACCCACCTGGACGCCAGAAAAACGAATAAATCCATTTTGTTTAATCCGTACATATCATTTATATCAATTTTTTTTTAATTTTTATTCTGTTTCACATAATAACATTTCCTTCGTATTTTTAATACTTTAATTTCCAACGAAACTATTTTATATGTATAAAAATAGTACACAACATTATCGAAAATTATGAATTTACGATTTTTCATTTTCACAGTAACTCAACCACATATTTCCAATAAACAGAGGCTGATTAACAATGCAATTTAGGAGAGATAAAATATTTAGAAAGCCTTAATTAAAATGCAATATTTTGTGCCAGCCAAATTAATCGTCACAAATTGTTTTCTCAAAAAATAACAAAAACATCCGCTTCGTACTGTTTATATTTTTATTAAATAACCCAGGAGTTTAATTTTAGCAACAAATTCTTTTGAAGCGATTGTTATTAGGTGTACAAATGAATGATCCAATTTTCTCAGCCATATTGAATGTTTATTTTAAAAGAAAGTAAAGTGAATTTGTTCCATCAAAGTATTCGCCGTTACTTTCTATAACTTTAAGCCATCTTTCAAGCAACTGATGAATTCCATCCTGGAAAAATTTTACGTTTTTGGACTCGATAAAGTCGTCAAGCCATTTTCGGATCTCATCCACTGATTGGAAGTGCATATAGGATAAGGCGTGTTGCATCAACCGGCACAGGTGATAATCAGATGGAGCAATGTCTGGTGAATACGCCGGGCGTTGCAAGACGTCCCAGCGAAGACTCATTATGGTGTCTTTTGTACGGGAAGCAATATGTGGCCTGGCATTGTCATGCGACAATTTCACTGGACGTTCTCCTTTGCCAGTATACAGACGTTTTCGTTCCAATGCTTGACTCAAGCAGATTAATTGACGTTGGTAGTAATCCGCAATAACTGTTCCACCCGGTTCCAACAAGTCATAATAAACCACGCTCTTGATATCCCACCAAATGCAGAGAAGAATCTTCATTCCGAAGCGATTGGATTTTGTAACCGATGTTGATGCTTCGCCGGGATTTACCCATGACTTCTCGCGTTTCGGATTGTCATAGAGTATCCACTTTTCATCGCTCGTAACGATGTTCCACAAGAAAGACTTTCGACGCTGCTTATTTAGGAGAGAAAGACACGCTGCCATTCGTTGATTTTTGTTGGTCGCAGTGAGTTCATGCGGAAGCCATTTTCCTTCTTTCTGGATCTTTCCCATCTCACGTAGGCGTTTGGAAATCGTTTGCTGGGTTACTCCTAACTGTTCTGCAAGTTCTTTTTGCGTTTGTGCCGCATTTTCAGCGAGCAATTGTTCCAAATCATCGTTGTCGCACTTCCGGGAGCCTCCAGGGCGTTGTTTGTCGATTAAACTCAAATCACCGCTTTTAAACCGCTTAAACCAAAATGCGCACACATCATACGATACAACACATTCACCGAGAAAGGAACAAATCGATTCGTATGCTCTTGCAGCATTTTTCCCTTGTTGGAATTCGTAAAGAATGCAGTGTCGGATATGCATCATATCTGTTGCCATTTTCGACTCTACTGAATTGAATATTTTTTAAGGTTATGTTGGGCCTTTCGCTAAACTATCTTTTGTTTTAACTAGCTATATGTCAACACTATATGAACGCAAAACAGCGGGAAAATCTATTGACTTTAAACTTGATTTTATAACTGCTTAAGATAATTTGGATTTTTCATTTGTACACCTAATAGAAGGAAAAAGGGGACAATTCAAACAAAAGGTCAAATAGGTACCATTACTTTGATTAACTCTTATCAAACTGAATAACACTTTCTTGAACCAATTTTATTTATTGTACGTAATAATACAAATCAAATTCTTCGTCTTAACTATGTGACTATAAAGAATAAGAAAAGTAATGGTTCGAGCGAATGTTATTTAATTTGATAAGAGTTGGGCATAACGACGATTCTAGCTGAGCAAAATATTATACAAACAAACTGGTACTGTTGGAATCAGAAACTTTGGATTTCACCAAGGTCTCAGGTAGTTAACAACTACACGAATTTCCGGTAATCGTCACAAACTGTTGGAGAACCTCGATGTTTTCGTTTTCTCACCGCAGTGTCTGTTTACCTATCTTGCCGTACGCAACGCAATGTAATTTTCGATAAACCAGTTTAGTGACCAGAGAAGTATGTAAGTACAAGTTTCGATGTTTGTATTTCCATTGAAAAATCACTCTATATATCTTTCTTCTTACCCAACCTAACTGTTCGTTAAACATATTTTAAAATTATTAGTAAAATTAAAAAATTAAAACGTCGAATTTTCTCATATTTGCAAGCGTGTACTTTAATTCTTTTTACTTTTGTTTTTAAATTTGTAACGAAAATTAAGTGTAAAGGTTTACAAGGAATTAGTGTGAAATATTATTCGGTTAAACAAAATAATTTGAAAATATATTATTCTAGTAAACCAAGCGGTATTATTCGGTTATTCAAAATGCTGTAATTTACAATGATTGTAAATACCATAACTTTCTTGATGTCCTCTGTATCGCTGGTCATATTCGCCGCCATCGGGATGTCTATTATAACGGTCATCATAATTCCGGCCGTTGTCATAGGGATCTATGTTCCGCCTATCTTGTTCCTCGGAACCTGAAAATTAAACGTCAAACGTTGCATTTTTATATAAATTATTTTTAACTGATTTTTACTATCGTCAAGTGCCCAAATTGAAGGTTAATTTTAACAAAATATTAAGAAGTAAATCAACGAATATTCTTGTAAATAAAGATAGCAAATAAAAATATTTGGAAATAAAAATACAATTTTAAAAAATTTCATAAACGTATTCAAAAAGCAGATGTTACAAAAAAATATTTCATTATCCATATTTACGTATTCTTCGACATAAAATTAACAAGATAAAAGATGATAGTCAAAGTACTATTTGTTTAGGATTAACATACGACATCTTTCGTTTACAAATCTACTGTACTCCTAGTGGCCAAAAATGGAAAATTATCAAAAGATACATGACAATTGAAAGTAAAAAAAAAAGAAAGAAAAATTTCTTCTTTACTCAAAATTTTTTTTAAATTATAATTTTAAATCTCGTACAAACTTATCGACAGGTGAGACTAATCTTTTGAACGTTAGGGATCGAGAAATAAATTTGGTAATTACCTTCGCTGTTCGAAAGGAAAGCTCTCCATCGTGGTGAAATATTGTAATCGTCTTCAGTACTGTTCGGTTTCCCGATATCACCTCGTCCAAGTGGGACAACTGGCGGCGGATCGACCCATGTGTGATTGTATTTCTGAAACGAAACGACCAAATAGGAAATTATTGTCTTGCATGAAAATGTAAGTAGACCAAAATGACAAAAAAATTCGTTATGACATCTTAATTAATAAATAGTGCCTGCAAAGTCCATAGTCAATTTGTTTAATACACGGAATAATATCCGTATTAGCATTAATAATCGTAACTTATTTTGTTTACTATTCTATTATTATATTTTCCCATTTATAACAAAAATTCTAAAATCAATGCTTCGTATACATATTTTTCAATTTCATTTATTGCATAATAAATCATATTCGTCTGAAAGTTCTGTTGAATAAACGAAACAAATCGATGATTTATCTAAAAATTTGTCTTTGTGTAAAATTATTGAAATAATCGTAACTTATTTTTTTTGTTTACTATTCTAATATTGTATTTTCCCATTTATAGCAAAAATTCTAAAATCAATGCTTCGTATACGTATTTTTCAATTTCATTTATTGCATAACAAATCATATTCATCTGAAAGTTCAGTTGCATAAACGAACCGAATCGACGATTTATGTAAAAATTTGTGATTGTATAAAATTTTCTAACGTTTTATAAAACTATCTACTTGTCCAGTAATCGGTACGGAGGTGCTTGTAAAATATATCGACCGAGATCTAGATCTTGGATGAGAAGCGCACGATAGATCTATACCCTGTTTTACCGACTAAGTGTACACAATAAACGAAATTTAATTTAAAGCGATGCAAAGTATTTGAGAAACACATTTAGAAACATTTGTATCCACGTAAATTAACTATGTGTAACATATGTAGCGAATAAATTAATTTAAATATTTAACATTTTATCCAATAGATAGCAATTTCTTGAGAAAAAGTGATCAAAGTCCTTAACAGTCTGGTTGAACAAATAAATTATTGTTCTCTCGAACAGTGAAACACTTGACTTCTACTTAATTTTTTAAATGAAACAAATTCGAAACATGATCGACCATTTATATTATAATACTAACTACTATCCAAATTTGAAAAGCAGATAAAATCAACGCTAAGCACAACATTGTCGAAGTATGCGTAAATATACAAAATATAGAATATTATGATAAATTCAATTAATATTTATTCACAATGTATTCGAATATGTTTAAATCACGAATCAAAATTTAATACAGAAATATATTGGAACATTTAAAAAATCACATACCACCCAAAATGAAGAACAAGCAACGAACAAAATTTTAATTTTAACGCCACTTCGCGATTAAAACAAAAGTCACACTTAGCATTCACGTTGAAACAAAAGAGCACGCCTAAGCATATGTATCAAATGCATAGATACAAAGATTAAAAGTGTTTCTAAATGGATCTTCTTACTCCTTAATGCTTCTAAGATTACATCAACTGTCGATAAGTTATCAGCTATGCTTCTTTTATGGCAGAACATGTCTCACTTTAAATCGCAATTTTAGTAATGTACTTTTCTCGTATAAACATGTTATATAACAATATTATACAATATTATAATACATTGTGAAAATTAAAGTTTGAAGTAAATATAAAATTTATTTAAGATACAATTGTACAACTTTCATATTACTTTACTAACTGAGTAAATTTGAAGTTCAACGTGCATTATTTAAATTGTACACTTTTATATTTTGTAACTATCTTCTGAGATTTATCAATGAATTATTGCTCCGATCATTTTGTCACATTAACAGCACTTTTAAAAAATCTTCATGTTACGATGTTCTCTCTCTGTTAGAAAATTTAGAAAATGAATAATTCCATTATTAAAACTTTAATGGAACTAAAATAGAAATAGTTTTCAACGCATCCCAGGATATTTGAAACTTGATTTATACCGCAGGATCCATCCCTACGAGGTAAGTATACCGTGCAAGAGTCCCGAGAAAAAGTATTTTTAATTTCACAAAGTAATCGAATGTGGTAATTCGAGCCTCTCCTACGTCCGTCGACCGCTACCTCGATCTTCCTGGGACGCGAGTTCGTAACTCTTTACGATTGAAAAATCGCGTCTGTAATGCATTGTGCAAAGATCTGTACGCCCAAGTCCCATAAAGTTATCGAAGGAGATGGTTACAGAGTCTCTCTATATTCATAGAATCTCTTTAAATTCACAGACCAATTGCTACCTCCGTCTCTGGTCTAGCCCTTATTTCACGTCCGGCGACCATAATATACAGATTGGCTCGATTCAGCGGATGCGTCATCGCGTTCACAGAAAGTCATTGTCTTGCCCTCGTTTTCACGTTTTATCCTTTTTACGTTTCGGGATGGCACGCACTGACAGGAAGCGCGGTGAGATAGGCGGCTCGTTATCGTTTCGAAACAACGTGCCGCACTCTGTTTCTCTTTGATTCCCTTTCTGGCCAGCCTGAGCTTCTGGCATAATTGATGACACTGTAGTGGGCAGAGCCTTTTCCCCCCCCGAAAATACTCAATGAAAACACGGACTTTATCGAAATGGAAGTTAATCTTGCCGCGCCAACACGCGTGCCTGAATAGACGCGTTCGAGAAACCGAGAATAATCGAAGAAACGTGAAACGTGAAACGTTTGACCTCCCAATGACCCCGCGAGATTAGAAAATTCGAATCGTTGTTATACCGATTCTCCACCAACCGATGACACAATATGTTTTGTTGAAAAATATTAAGTAAAACTTTCCATATTTTTGGTATCGTTACTTGTATTGCTATTATTACTGTTAAATTATTATGCCTAAATGTACATAGTGCGTCTCACGAACTATGTCCATTCAAATATATTGGACAATGTTCGAGATAATAATTAAATAATTTTGAGAGGTATTTTTGGTATCGTTACTTGTATTGCTATTATTATTGTTAAATTATTATGCCCAAATGTACGTGCAGTGTGTCTCACGAGCTATGTCCATTCAAGTATCTTCCAAAGTATTAATGATATTGAAAAATGTTTGAGACAATATATTTATTGAAAAATATTAAGCAAAACTTTCCATATTTTTGGTATCGTTACTTGTATTGCTATTATTACTGGTAAATTATTGTGCCTAAATGTACATAGTGCGTCTCACGAACTATGTCCATTCAAATATATTGGACAATGTTCGAGATAATAATTAAATAATTTTGAGAGGTATTTTTGGTATCGTTACTTGTATTGCTATTATTATTGTTAAATTATTATGCCCAAATGTACATGCAGTATGTCTCACGAGCTATGTCCATTCAAGTATCTTCCAAAGTATTGATGATATTGAAAAATGTTTGAGACAATATATTTATTGAAAAATATTAAGCAAAACTTTCCATATTTTTGGTATCGTTACTTGTATTGCTATTATTACTGTTAAATTATTATGCCTAAATGTACATAGTGCGTCTCACGAACTATGTCCATTCAAATATATTGGAAAATGTTCGAGATAATAATTAAATAGTTTTGAGAGGTATTTTTGGTATCGTTACTTGTATTGCTATTATTATTGTTAAATTATTATGCCCAAATGTAAATGCAGTGTGTTTCACAAGCTATGTCCATTCAAGTATCCTCCAAAGTATTGATGATATTGAAAAATGTTTGAGACAATATATTTATTGAAAAATATTAAGCAAAACTTTCCATATTTTTGGTATCGTTACTTGTATCGCTATTATTACTGTTAAATTATTGTGCATAAATGTACGTATAGTATGTCTCACGAACTGTGTTCATTCAAATACCTTCCAAAGTATTGATGATATTGGAAAATGTTCGAGGCAATAATTAAATAGTTTTGCGAGGTGCATAATCTGCTGTAACTTTTTTTATTAATGTTTTTTTTTAATAGAATCATATATTTTTCAATGCATCATATAACTAGTCATTTCCTCTGAAAAAGTATTAAGCTATTTATGGTGACAATATAATTAATTTAGATGATATTTCAAAGTAAATGTTGCAGGTTATTTTTAAATTATTAAGTTAAAATTTTATTATAAATAATGCAGTACATCTTTGTTAGGAATGAGAGGTCTGATCAAATCTAATCTTAACATAAAATGTGAAGGAGAATAATAATATTTTAATAATATAGTGCAAATATTTATATTTAAATATCTTTTAAACTAATGGTTTTTGACGAGCTGAATTGAATAGTGGATTTAGAAAACTACGATTCTATTCAAATGAAACTAATTGTGCAAAATACTTTTAAATATCATCATCAGTTTCGAAGATATTCGAATGGACAGAATTCGTCCACATTTTTTAAACTTTTACTCATTAATATTTGTACTATTTATTATTACTAGTGCATACTCAAAAACATTCATAGAATGTAATGTAGAATAAATAATTATATTTCTTTTTTTAAATCAATATTTTCGGATGCTTCACGAAAGTTTTAAAATATTGAACAGTTTATTAACATATACAGGATATAGTCCCTCTAGTAGATTAACAAATTATTTTAAAATGCTTTGATCGAATTCATTAATCGCGTCCTTTGAAATTTTAGTATTTGGTTAAATGAATAATATATGATATTAGGTCGAGGGTTGTCTAATAACATTCTTATTAATATATAGGAGCAAAGAACTCCAGAAACTGAGTAGAAATGGTTTATTTAGTCCTCCACAACGTTTCAGCGCTCATTCCTGGAACCGTGTACAGTTATATAAATAAATCACTTCTTGATCTTTTCCAGAGTTCTTTGCTTGCTCTTACATATTAATAACTAGACACTTCTCTATTATATGACATGTTTGTATACCAAACAAGTCCAACTAAATAATAATTTTTACTAAATAATTAACGTTTGCAAGCAATGTGATGCATGTTGTATTAACATGTAATTACATATTTGCAGTAAAAAATATAAATATTTTACTTGCAGTATAACATGGAGACATATTTTTAAATATACTAGACAAATGTTAGAAAAAATAATGTTTCGCTCCTTAGAAAAAATTATTATAATTTTACCTTTTATAATAAAAATCTTTGTGAAAAAAAATAATTAAAGTTTGACGATG